AAAGGCGAACTTTCATCTTGGCGTAGTTGCGATATTACATGTGTAAGTTTACCGCTAGGCTGAGACATTTGTTAATTCTTTTGACGTCGACGGGAACAGGCCATTCGATAACTGTCTTGATCTTTTCGGGATCAGGGCGTACGCCGTGTTGACCCACGATGCAACCAAGAAGTGGTATTTAGATAGCAGCGAATATGCACTTCTTGAGATTGGCATACAGCTTAGGCTCGCGCATAAGCGCAAGAGCCGAATTAACGGGTGCTCTTTAAATCTTGACGACCGCCTTTCCGCCCATGGCCCGGGTATGGACGAATACATCGTTGAAGTTACTTAATTTAAAGTCTCGCACACGTCTCAGAGATTTTGTGACAACAAAAGTTAGACGTAGAATGGGTACACTAAGCCCTTGTGGTATTACTAGCTACTCTTAGAGCATACCGCTCGAGATGCTTACTGCTGCGTACAGGATGTCCCGCTCACATATTAAAAATCTAATAGAATCCACACATCAGATCCATGGATGAAAAAATGCTACTCTTTTACATGCCATAAATAAGTTTGTCCTACCTCTTCATTGGATTCTGAGCCGGCGCAATTGCAGCATTAAACTTGTAAAATGCGTGCACTATCCGCCATCCTCTAGTAGCCTCATTCAAACAAAAGGTTGAAGAGCTGTGAGGGGAGATTAATTCCCTCATATTACCCGCAGTTAAGCGATCGGAAAGGAACTTGGCAAACGCAAGTGCTTGTTCACGAGTCAGTGGCCACTACTTCATGGCACAGTACTTTGAGTCCGGCTTGAGCTCTGCTTCATGTCAAGCATCTGCATCCTTAGGCAATTTGCATGGTAAGAATTGAGAAAACGTCCTAAAATTCGATCAAATTCTTATATAATGGATTTGCTTGAAGCGACTCTCAAGATGGAGACATGTATCGCTAGATCCGAGTCTTCTCATCCATCGACTAGCTGCAGAAACCCGCTTGTACTCGGCAAATACTTCTGATGACTACATTCGTTCACATGCTCGTCCTCCGTGACAAGTCTACATATCCGCTCGACCTTGCCACTACGCAGATCTCACAATAATTGTTGTGGTTCTAAAGTTGGCAGCTGCTTGATCTCCAAAGTTGACTTCGAAGGCACGATCAAAAAAATAGTTTGATTGCCTACACTTGACCCGTCATTAATCAAACATTCATTGTCCCGTGTTATGCCTGGAACCTTTTTTCTTCATAGGTTGCTAAGGACTTATCGCTAACTCTTCCATTTATACTGCTTAAGGCGTTTCTTACTCTAGTTGTGGGGACTTAGTCCCTTCAAGTCTTCTAGTTGTGGTAGCACAACCACAGCTATTCCCTTACGATCGGCTTTCCAGCCGATCTAGGGTCATCATGTTTTCCTGTGTGGACAACTGGTTTATTCTTACACGAAATTCACCCGCTAGGCGTACACCCATGTCCCAATTTTTCTCCTCTTGTTCAAGTGGTGGGCCTTCGGCGCTGCATGTGCATTCGCACAGCCGTCAGCAGATTCCCCCACAGTGTGATTGTTTGTCAGACTGTGATCTGGTTAGTCTTACTAAAGACCGCACTGCAAGTGAGGCCATCACACTCATTCGCAGTACATCCACAAGCTTGCGAAAGCTCCGAGACGTTCATCAGCTGACATCTGGTGAGCAAGTGGCAGACATCATAACGGTTCGATACCGTCAGATGACCCTTAGCTTGCAGCTTCCGAGCCAGAATGAACCTAGGATGACATCAAATTTGTCGTCCGAATCTAGCACGATGAAATCGTCATGGTACTGCAAATCTATTAGCGTGTAGCAAAATCCCACTACACGCTTCATCACTGCTATCGATTTACCTGCTGCAAGGCGCAACGTCATCCTTGTAGGAGGAATTTCACCTGAGCGAACTTGAGCCTACGATCCTTTAGCAACTGGCGACGAACAAAAATTTTCGACGCCCCACAGGCAATTAAGGCACGAAGTGACTGTTTTTTGCCACCTTTGAATTCAAGGTGATGAGATGTACCTCATCACCAGGTGCAGAGACACACAGGGGTTGAGTCTGGAGCAACTTTTATCAATAGGTTTCAAATTCTTTTGAGGTTGCTGGATCAGTAAAGCGCTCTGCCCCTACTGACCCCGACCGTTTTTGACGGCCATCCAAGCTTTTGTGACTTCACAACAGTGCCGAAATCGCGTCTGTTGTCCTCATTGGCAGACGGTCGATCACTACGCTCAGTGTTTCGGGAAGCTAGGCGTGAAGAACTACGCTCGTAGGCGTAGTGCCCTAACTTTTGACTGCGATTGCACTCTTGCCATCGCTTACTGTTTGAAGAGTGAGGTCTCGCCCTTATTCCACTGAAGATGTCCAATGGTGCTGGAACTCTTGTCTCTTCTGTCTCAAAGGATGATAGGGAATCAAGCTAGTGTGAGCTTGTATCACACTTAAGTCCTCTCGTACTGCAGTTGTAATCGCCTCTTCAAGCGTCACCAAGTCAATGCGGAAAGGGGGTTAATTACGGGACCATATCTAAGGCTTCGTAAGAACATCGTGAGTAGCACAGATTCACTTTGGGGCTCGCCACTATGCAACTTGAAAGGTAACGGACGTGCTGAGCGGAAACGTGAACATCAGTCTTACCTCAGGTTATCTCCAGGAGCTTTTAAAAAGTCCTGGACTCAGCTCTTGGCGACCCAACCGTTCGGTTGAGCAGAGTCTTAAAGACCACCAACAATCCCAACACGTTTACATTGTGTAATTGAAATTCGAGTGCCCAAGTTCTGGCACGCCCTTACGGATTCGATTTGGCAAGCCTTAAAGGCATCGTCCACTGCGAGGAGCCATCTCAACTGGGAGTCTTGCTTGACTTCCCGCTACTAAATTTTTTTAAATGTAGTGTATCGTGTCGACGCTGCAGAAGCAGACTGAGACTGTTGCTGTACCATGAGCTCAGTCTGCCGGTGATCTTGTTGATGCAGCAGGGTCCCTTCAGCTCGCGACGCGTCAATCTCTCTTTGCAAGAATTGGCGTTTAAGGAATGCTGATGATCCTTATCCCTTGAGATTAGCAGAGACCAGAAAGCTTTTTGGCCATCTGTCGAACTCATTCGTTCGATCGCACTCCATTCGACATCACTCAAGTTACTCGAATAGGAAATATTTGTACGGGTGCCGTGAAAGGTGTCGACGTTTTCATTGTCCAACATGTTCATGTTGAACGGGTTTTGTGGTCCTTGGAAGAACTACAAAGTGCTACCAGGTGCAACCGGGCACTGAAGCAACACACTGGAAAACTAGTGCGGAGCTACTACCACAGGCAGCAGCGTAAGCGGAGCCAGCTACCTCTGTAAAAGTCAGAGGAAGGGAAAGCAGCTAGAATCTGACTAGTTACTGGTACAAGTAAAATTGCCTTAAATGTAAATGAGTCCTAATCATTAACCTATGTTTCAGTCTTTACTCGATCATTTTTATCTACTAAAATGTATGCTTAAGTCTTGCTTACCACTCATTGGGCGCGGCCATCGTTGATTGGACCTCCAGAGCTTGCTTATGTGATGACCCATGTCAGCAAATTGATGAGTGCTTCTGCATATTGCCCGTTAAGGTAATATTCACGAACATTACCCCTTACGATAATATTCACGAACAATAACCACCTTTGTGATAATATTCTCATTAAAGAGTATCAAGAATTTATTACATGTAACAGGCTCACCCTGTTACAGCCAAGGCATACGCTTCACGGCCATGAACCGGTATCATACCTTATCTACATTCGTGATGAATTTCGGGATTAACCTTCGTGGTTACCTGTCAGGGGTAGATGAGCGCGCCAAGAGTTGCGAAATCTAGCGAATGTAAAGTTAAAGGTCGCAGAGTCATCTCTTATCAGACCGGTGACTTTCCTGAGATGCAGCGAGCAGGAAACAGGCAACACGTTCGATGTGAATATCTTTTTTATCCAATCGCACCCTCCGAGGCCGATTTCACATTCCAATTGACCCACTGTCATTTCTCGTCTTTCTCAGCCTTTTCAATCGCTTCCGAACTTTCGAAAGTCAGCTCATGCTGAGCTCTTTCATCCTCTTATGTGCTTTAGATTAAACTTGGGACTCCGGACAAAAAGCTGTTTGCGCTTGTATTCCATCTCATGCTCCTGATTATTCCCCGCGTCCTCTCCATCCTTTTGACAGTTGGACCGACTGCGGGCTTGACATGCATTTCCGCGTGGTCGTCTTAATCAGCGATGGTGGTGGATGTGACGTATACTATTCAGACCAGCTACTAGCGAGCGTATGAATGGACCCGGTTGACTTTGAATAGAATGTAGAAACCCCCACACTCATAAGAATCGATTCTGTTCTTTCACAAGTAGCGGCATTAGCTGCTGAACCGCTTCATGATGCCGGTATCCACTATAGCCAAAATCACCCGGATCTTGATCAACCTTATCGGTATGCAATAGAGCACTGCCATGCATAAAGAGTAAGGCCCGACCACTGCTGACCAGCAATAGAGCACTGCCATGCATAAAGAGTAAGGCCCGACCACTGCTGACCTGCAGCTTCCTCAAAAAACCAACTCCCATAGAATAGAGTAAAGGTCTAGCCTCGCACCTTTGACAAGCGCAAAACCTACTTGGCGTCTGCAGATAAGCAACTTATTAATACCTCAAAGACCGACAACGTAGTAGTCGGCTCACAATCGTGCTTTAGGCATTTAAGGTCGGTAAGGGTGATGATGTTACTGTTCGCGACGGCCTGCTTTCATCAATTAAGGGTGATTTCGATTGTAAGGATCGTACCGCACTAATGATCCGACCAGATCAAACCTTCGCAAACGCATTGAACCTTGTCGACCAAATGCATGCGTTATCAGATGAAACACATCGCCCAGCAGTCCATTTGACTTGTGTGGCCAGAACGACTCGCAGTTCTCATCGCTCATTTCGTAATTCACCCAGTAGTTAGGAGCCCGACCACCTCCGCCATGCGTTTTCCGCTCCCTGCTCTTCTAACTACCTTTGTCATCCGTCAGTGGACAAGTGCTGGGTCAACAAGAACGACCGGTAATCGGACCGACGTTGCTGCTCGGAACGTGTCCGCTGTTTCGCCAAGCCCGGAGGCCAAGGTGTCCGTCGAGTCTTCACGCTCGCAGACGCAGGGTCGGGTCACGGGGAAGGTGTCTGTCGAGCAGGGAGACCAAGAGGAAAGGGCTGTGTGGTCCGAACTGCCAGACGCAAGGGTGGTGATGGGTGTGGAGGAGTTCCTTTCCAGTTTGCCATTGGATCTTCACACAGGTTCAAGCGAGATTAAGAAGATCATCAAGCAAACGGGGATGCTTGTCACTCATGAGAGGCTCGAGACGTGGCTGCGCGACTTTCAAACTTCTAGTCAAACGTTTCGTAACGACGACTTGATAAATGCATTAGTGCATTCCGGACACGGAGGAGCACTGGCAGAGCTTTTTCTCAGACTTCGGGGCATTGATAGTTTGAAGAGCCGTGCGGAAGCGATGCAGAGTGCTCTATTGGAAGAGTACCCGGATGCATTCTCAAAGGTGTCAGAGGTGTGGCTAACGTCAGAGTTGAATCCTAAAGAAGCGTGGTCCATGCTGCCCGTCTCAGTGCAACAATGCTCCTGGAAGGCTGCAAGCGCAAACCTAGAGTGGCCTGCCGCCATTAAAATGATCTCGCATTGGCTTGATTATGTTGATAAGTACCGAGCTCTGTATCGAACGTTTGGCGATGGTCAAGTTATTGAAGTGTTGGCGGGCAACAGACGGAAGGATGCGGTGAAGGAGCTATTCCGTCAGCTTCAAACCGTCCGCGATACGAAACACCTCCAAAACCGGATGCTGATGGATTCGACGCGGCGGCGCCAGCTCACGATGAATACGGGAATAAATTCGGATCCTGAACAAGTTTTTGGCACGATGCATGATTTTGTAGTGACAAAGCATCAGGGTTCCCGTCGAAACGTGTGGTCCAACGAGTTGTTTTTGTTCGAGGATTGGCTCGATTATGTCTACAAGTACCGGTGCCAGTTTCCAGATCGCAAGTTCAGCGACTATCAAGTGATCAAAGTGTTGACGAGACACATAGAAGATAAAGAGCTGAAGAAGATGTTCTACAGGCTTCGAAACGCTCCTGGCATGGAGCCCCGCGCAAACAAGATGTTACATGTTTTGGCACTGCAACGTGAGTTCGACCAGCGGCTGGTACAAGGTTTGACTCCTGCAGACGTGTATAGCCAAATGCCGATTGCACAGGAATTAGACAAGTCGCTACCATTTCTAGGGAAGTCGCGCTGGCCTTTCATCTTGTCTATGCTGGAGGATTGGCTTGAATATGTGGACCAGTACCGGTACCATTTTCTGGCTCGCAAGTTCAGCGACTATCATGTGGTCAAAGTGTTGGCGAGACACAGACCAATGGAAGAGGTGGAGGAGATGTTCCACAGGCTTCGAAATGTCTCTGGCATGGGGGCCCGCGCAAACGAGATGTTACATGTTTTGGCACTGCAACGTGAGTTCGACCAGCGGCTGTTACAAGGTTTGACTCCTGCAGACGTGTATGACCAGATGCCGATTGCTCAGGAATTAGACATGTCGCTACCATTTCCAGAGAAGTCGCGTTGGCCTGTTGTCTTTTCTATGCTGGAGGATTGGCTTGAATATGTGGAGCAGTACCGGTACCAGTTTCCGGATCGCAAGTTCAGCGACTATCAATTGGTCAAAGTGTTGGCGAGCAGCAGACCAATGGAACAGGTGATAGATATCTGCCACATGCTTCAAAAAATTCTTAGCACGAAGTCTCGCGCGAACAAGATTTTCAACGCTGCAGTATTGCAACACAAGTTCGATGAGTGGCTGGTACAAGGTTTGAGTCCTGCAGCAGTTCTCCCCCGGATGCCGATCGCACAGGAATTAGACGAGTCGATCCCGGTCTTAGACGAGTCACGTTGGCCTTTTGTCTTGTCTATGCTGGAGGACTGGCTTGAATATGTGGACCAGTACCGGTACAAGTTTCCGGCTCGCAAGTTCAGCGACTATCATGTGGTCAAAGTGTTGGCGAGACACAGACCAATGGAAGAGGTGGAGGAGATGTTCCACAGGCTTCGAAATGTCTCTGGCATGGAGGCCCGCGCAACCAAGATGTTACATGTTTTGGCACTGCAACGTGAGTTCGACCAGTGGCTGGTACAAGGTTTGAGTCCTGCAAAAGTGTATGACCAGATGCCGATTGGTCGGAAATTAGACATGTCGCTACCATTTCTAGGGAAGTCGCGTTGGCCTTTCATCTTGTCTATGCTGGAGGATTGGCTTGAATATGTGGAGCAGTACCGGTACCAGTTTCCGGATCGCAAGTTCAGCGACTATGAAGTAATCGAAGTGCTGGTGGGTGCAAGAGGTGTTGCGAGTGCAGTGAAGATGTTCCACGAGCTTCGAAACCGCTCTGGCATGAGGTACCTCGCAGACCAGTTGCAGAGAGGGTTGATTTCAACATCATCACCTCCGCGGGAAGCATTGAAGTTCGTGTCAAGATTCTGGATCAAATCAAACTTGAATCCTGCAGACGCTTACCGCATGTTGCCCTTTCCAGTGGAAACACCCAATTTGGAAGCCGCTGCAAAGGCGGCAAAGCGGCGTAATGTCCGTGCCATTATCGCATTTTGGATAAGGTATGTTTTAGAGTATCGATCTCTGGGTCGAGATTTCACCAAAGATCAAGTACTGGAACTGCTAGCTCGCAGCAGTCAAAAGGAAATGGTAGCAGATCTTTTGCATAGCCTTTGAGGCTTTTGAGGTATGGAGGACCGCACGGACAACATGCAGAAGCATCCACTTATGCTGTCGCCAGCTTTGATGGTCAAGTTTGAATCTTGCGGAAGTTTAGCACATGATTTTTATTCGAGCGAGGACGAACAATGCGGGAGCTGCTGTAGAGAGGTCAGAGTGGACCGCATTCCGTCATAAGATTAACGCGCATTGGCGTCAAAATGTCGTCAGATACCAATTTTGGTTTGACACTCAAGCGATGATGAAGTCGCTGACGTGTTGAGGCACAACCGACAAGTGAGCCAAGTGAATGTTTGTGTTCAATTGGTTGAAGACGTTTCTACCCGATTGGGTGCGCAGGTCTGATGCAGAGAGGTCTAACTTTGCGATCGGCGGCTCCAGCAGAAGTGTGCACCTGGTTTGCAGTCTGTGCTTGAGTCGAATTGAGTCCGCTGGACTCGTTCGACAGCCGAAGCCTCTTGTTTACGCCATGCGAGATCGACTGGAGTCCTTCTTTTCTCGCGCAGACGTTGATCGTCTACCGCTGCTTTGTCACAGCTTTTTGTTTTTCGCGGCATCTAAACTGTTGAAGATTCGGGCGATCGGATGCGCTGGCTGACGTCGCGGGGAAGATGAGTCCGAAGTACAACCGTTGCAATAGCTGTTACGGGTAAGTGTAAGTAGTGCACCATACATTTTTCTCCCATGAAAACTGCAGCACTCCAGCGTTATCACCAGCATGAACCGTACCTTTGCCACATTAATTCGAACTTTACTACTGCTAGGCACCTTCTGGACAAGTATGAGTACTTTAGAGGCTAGGGTGCGCATCTATTGAACACGAAGCCAACGTCTTCTGCTTCGTCCGCCGTTTTTGAGGCGATCACTCGTACTTTCTAAGCTGTTGGCATCCGTATGTTCATTAAAATTATTCACTTTTATCTTCCGAGAAGATTTTTCGTCGTATTCACTGTAACGGGGCACCCTAAAGCTTGTACTGTCATCAGTACAAGCTACTTATTCTGACGACAGAATACGGCGGTGCCTCGGAACTTCACGTACACTCGTACGTGCAGAGGAAGACGGTAAGGAGAAGCGAGTACTTGGTTTAAGTAAAAAGTAGAACTGTATTCAGTATGGTTTAATGTCTGTTAATAAATCACTATTTATCCTCATCTAACTATGTCTGAATACAAATGTGCATATCAGCTATCTGCTCACCACTCATTGCGTGCGTCTGTCGTGGCGCGTCTTCGTTGGTTGATATAATGGCCTATATCGACCAATTAGGAACTACTCGTAAGTGCTGCAGAATATTTGTCCTTATGACAATATTCTGAGAATGTGACTCTTATAGTTATATTCTAGTAACAATTTCTTATAGATTGTTATGTAACGGTTGACCCCGTTACATCACCCCCCCTTAACCATTAGTCACTTTTGTGACTGATTGACTAAATGGGTACTCGTCCCAAATCATTTGGGACAGGGTTTGCACTTGTTGGTCCGAGTCCACTTTCCAACAATTCATCGCATGGTTAACAAGCCCATGCGATGCGCGAGCAAGGCCGCCGAGAGCGCGTCCGCACGTCTCTGTGCGGACGCCGAAGCAGAAGCCGCTGCAACTGATCTGTCATCGGTTGCTGAAGCGACTCATCCTGTGTCACCTGGTGATGCAGGCGCTCGTCATGAAGACACTCATGTCTTCACAGAGTATGAGCTCGGTGTCTCATACTCTCCTGATACGGAAGACGGATCCGTATCGACGGCGATTGAATCCAAGCCGCCTGCCAAGCGTGGCATGGACGATGCTTTGCATCGCAGCATCTTTGGTTCATCTGATGAATCAGATGAACCATCGCCGAAGCGAAGGCGCTCGAGGTCGCGAGACTCGGGCGCTCACAGTGGTGTCGGTTCTCCTATGGACACCACTTCGCAACGAGGTGCCAGTCCTTCTGTCGGCACATCGCAAGAAGAGCGGGACCGCAGTGTGTTGCGTCTCGCTCCCGAGAAGAAGGCATGGCTGCCTCCAAAGTCAGTCATGGATCACTTGTCGGCGACGACGAGTGATCGTTATCGAACACGATTGTTCGATTCGTCAAGGATCCATCACCTTAAACCCAGTGCGAAAAACTATCGCGCTGAACATGAATTCTTCATCGATGCTTTCTTCAAACTTCGATGGTACAGTGGGAATCACAAACGTGATGGTCCCTCACTGCTTCAGGCGTGGAACGCCTGCATCCACAACCTTGAGGATGTAGGTCGTGACGTTTGGAACGACAAACTTATCAAAGCTCGTGATTAGCTTGAATTAAGAACCCCGACAGGTGCACGTACAAGCTGCATCGTCTGTCTAGGGAGAAAGGTTTACTCTGCCTCTCTTGGGGAGACTCGTGCCCATGTTGTGTGAACAACTCTGCACGACCACCTAAGGAGGCTTACCTCCCTAAAGCCCGTGGTGGCGCGTACGTATTTCTAGTGAGCTGTACGAAGGGATTGACAACTTGAAATCCCTTTATGACCGTGCCGGGAAGACTTTCTCCAGCGGTCCTTCTGCGGCACAGGATGTGCCGCGTCGTACTGCTCAACCAGACCCAGTACATCGATCATCAGCTGGGATCGGGGCTCCCAAGTATCCCAGGACGGGGGATAGCCGCGCCACCGGACGAGATAACTCGTCCGACGTCCGTTCACGTCGCGGTGGTTCAACAGCTGCTCAACCTGATAGCGCTGGCCACCGCGAGAGTCCTCTAATGGAGGTGGAGGAGGTGGAAAGACGCTCTCCACACAATCGTGGGGATCCGTGTGTTCCCGAGAGCTTCTTTGATCGCGTAACGAAAGGGTTACGCGGCGATCTCGAACATGAGCGGGACAGGCGTCTTCAACTGGCGGACGCTGTCTCGAAGCATCGAGCTGAGTTTGCCTTTGCTCAGCTTGAGAACGAGAGAGCTCTGACGTCTCTGCGTGACGAGCTAAGGGTAGCTCGTGGGAGTGTTGATCGGTCTCGGGGTGAGATAACTGCTCTTCAGACCCTTGTCGATGCCCGCCATCGGGAGCACAAGGCTTTCTGCGAGATTCTTGAGTGCAAGGGCGTTCTTCATCGGAAGAAGCAGCGTACTGATGGTACGGCTTAAGCCGACCAACGTAAAACGTGGGATGCGTTTGCATCTTACGTGGCAACTCGATCGTGTATGCATTGTCTAGGCGGTGCAATACACGAAATGGGCCGATGTACTTGGGTGGTAGTTTACTGCTACCCAAGTTAGTCACTGCATGCTTTGGTAGATTAACCGTAGACAGTAGGACTAAGTCACCTTTGTTAAATAAAAGAGTGTTTGCCCTTCCATTCTTGTCAGCGTTTTGCTTTTGCTTATCCACCGCTTCGGCGAAGGAGCCTTGCACAAAACGGACTACCGTTTCACGAGCCAGTATGAACTCATCTGATGACTCGTTAGCTTCAGTGCGCTGTGAGTGCACTGCAGCAACATCAATCTTTTCTTCATTGAGGGCTTCCGCACTCTCACTGGCATCATCTTCTTCGATATCGATGCTATCGATATCGGCATCAAACGCAATGACCTCGTCGTCAGAGCGTGATGAGCGTGAACCAAATCGGTTTTTGCTCGCGCGAGTCCCTCCCCCCTTAAACCAGAGTTACACTCTAGTAAGGTGGGTACACGCGGATGGCGTAAGCCATTCACGTAAAACGGTGTATGTGTCGTTGACGCATGCACCGAGTTGTGAATGGCAAACTCTACCATTGGCAAAAACCCACTCCAACTCTTAAAGGAGTGCACGTATCCTCGAAGTATCTCTTCGAGGACACGATTGGCACGTTCCGTCTGACCATCTGACTCAGGATGATCAAATGTCGACATCTTCAAGCGCGTTCCGAGTGATTTGAACACGGAACGCCAGAAATCAGCAGTGAAGCGTGGATCTCTGTCTGATACGAGTTCACGGGGCAACCCATGAAGTCGGAAGATGGTGTCAATAAAGACACAAGCACAGCCACTTGCCGTGATTGACTCTGGTACAGCCACAAGGTGTACCATTTTGCTGAATCTGTCAACAAATACGAGAATACCCGTATTCCCGCGTGCGTCTTTGGGTAACCCGAAGACGAAATGCATTGAGATGGATTCCCAGCACTCAGCCGGAACCGGTAGAGGCTGTAAAGGTGCACGCAGTGAAGGACTTGACTTCACTCGTTGACAGACTTCGCATGCGCGAACATACTTTCGCACAAACTGATACTGGCGGGGCCGGTAAAAGTCTCGACTCACCGTGAGATATGTTTTCTCCCGGCCACGATGTCCTCCAATAGGAGCATCGTGATACTCGAACACGATCCGCAAACGCAGATCAGTATCATCTGGAATGACAACACGTGGTGTGTCACCAGAAACGGCTGTATAGTACAGTAAACCGTTACGAGTAGTGTATCGATCTGATGCAGATCGATACGCAGGCGACAATCGTTTCAACGATTCTCGAGATGGTTGGGAGAGATGTGTCAACAACTTCACAATCTCACCATCTTGGGCGTATGCCCGCCTCACATCATCATACAACGTTGTAGATGGGACTAAGGACGTCATAACCGCAACGGTGGCTGTCTCACTGTTGGGTTTCGCGACTGTTTCAAAGTCGGGACGACGTGAGAGTGCATCAGCGACGACATTAAGTCGTCCTGGTTTGTACTCGACCGTAAAGTTGTATTCCGCAAAGAATGACAACCACCGCGCCATTCGTTGTGAAAGGTGCGGGCTGTTTACTACCGTGCGTAACGACGCATGGTCTGTGTAAAAAATGAAGGGTCTATCTCCTAATAGATAGACTCTGAACTTCGCGAGTGCATACTTCATGGCAAGGAGTTCCTTGTCATGCACTGGATAGTTCCGCTCAGCTGGTTGCAGCTGACGCGACTGATAGCAGACGACGCGTTCAACACCTTCAAGATCGTACTGCATTAATGCACAGCCGATTGCGAAATTGCTGGCATCACAGATCACATGAAATGGCCTGTCCTGATCGGCAATTGCAAGGACTGGGGATTGTATCAAGCTCTGCTTGATACCATCAAAGGAGCGCTGACATTCAGCGTTCCATAACCACCTTTCGTTCTATTTAACAAACGAGAGAGGTGCACAGTCATTTCGGCGTAATTGCGTGAATACTTATGCAAATACGCCGCTAGCCCAAGGAATTTTCGAAGACCTTTGACATCAACCGGCACAGGCCAGTCGGTGATCGCCTTGATCTTTTCGGGATCAGGACGTACACCGTTCTTACCAACGATGCACCCAAGAAGTGGTATTTCGCTTGCTGCAAATATACACTTTTTGATGTTTGCATACAATTGATGCCTTCGCATGATTGTAAGAACCTGTCGGACGTGGTACCTGTGAACCTCAACATCCGACTTTCCATCCATAGCCCGACTATGGATGAAAACGTCATCGAAATTAACTCGGTGCAAATTATCGCACTGGTCTCAACAGATGTAATACACACCTGTTGAACGTGGCAGGGGCATTACTAAGCCCTTGTGGCATTACTAGCCATTCCCAGAGCATGCCACTAGGCGTGCTAACTGCGGTATAGGGTATATCCCGTTCTCGCATAAGGATTTGATAGAAGCCATCCATCAAATCCATGGACGAAAAGATGGTACTCTTTGACATACCATCAATGATTACGTCCTTCCTTGGTATCGGCGTCTGAGCCGGTACCGTTGCAGCATTCAACTTGTTAAATGCATGCACTATTCGCCACCCTCTTGTTGCTTTTCGCACACAGAAGGTCCGAGAGCTATGTGGGGAAGTCGATTCCCTCACATGGCCCGCAGATAAACTATCGGCAAAGAGCTTGTCGATCGCAAGTACTTGCTCACGAGGCAGTGGCCACTGCTTCATGACACAGTACTTCAAACCTAGTTTAAGCTCGACCTCTTGTCGAATACCTTTATCCTTCGGTAATTCGTACGGAACAGTTTCAGGGAATACATCCTTAAATTCAACCAAATCTTCATAGAGAGGATTTGTTTTGAGCGATTCCCATGATTGGGACTCATATCGCTCAATTCGTGTCTTTTCATCTAGGACACTCTCGTCCATAGATGAACTACTGAGAACTCTCTCGTTCTCAGTAAACACTGTTGCTGACCTTGTGTCGGCTACACACTCGTCGTCAGCGACGAGTACGCAGATCTGCTTGACTTTGCCACTACGCATATCACGCAAGAACCTTTTATGTTCGAGCGTTGGCAACTGAGTGATCTCCGAAGTCAACTTCGGAGGCGCAATCAGATCAAGTGTATAAGCGCCTACGCTTGATCCATCATTGACTAGGACATTCAATGTCTCTGTCATTTCCTGGGGACTTATTCCCTCAGGCTTCGAAGGACTTATTCCTTCGGCTTCCCGGGGACTTATTCCCTCGGTTTTCGGGGACCTTATTTCCACCGTATCTGTAATATCGGGACTTATTCCCTTAACTTCCTCTAGCTGTGCTTGCGCAACCACAGCGAGATCCTCTACGAAAGACTCTCCAGTCGATCTAGGATTATCGTTTCGCTCAACCTGAGCGATCGATTGTTTCTCTTCTAGATGTTCCCCGCTAGGGATACATCTTTGTCCCGGTCGACTCGACTTATTCGAGTGGTGGACCTTCGGCGCAGCCTGTGTTTCCTCACAGCCGCCGGAACTTTGCTCCGAAGTGTAACCGTTTGTTACACTAAGGTTTTGTGCAGTCGTACTAACGACCGTATCACAAGTGAGGCCATCGCACTCACTCGTAGTACATCCACACGCTTGTGGACGCTCCAAAACGTTCATCAGATGGCCATCTGATGAACAAGCGGCAGGCATCGTTACTGTTCGATGTTGCCAGTTTACCCGTGGTTCATACCTTCTGAGCCACGGTATTCCAAGGATGACATTAAATTTGTCATCCAAATCCAATACGATGAAGTCATCGTCAGATTGGGTATCTTCTAGCGTATAGTGGATCTTCACTATACGCTTCATGACGGTTAGGGATGCGCCTGTCACAATACGTACCGTCATCCTCGTAGGAGGTGTGTCACATTCACTGAACTTAAAGTGACCATTTTCTAGCGATTGGTGTCGCACAAAATTGTTGGGCGCCCCACAATCGACTAGAGCTAGAAGGGACAACTTATTTGTCATTTCGAGTTTCAAGGTAATAATTGAGATCTCATTACCTAGAGCAGCAACGCACAACGTTTGTGCGTTGGGAGCAATCTTCATCAAGAGGCCCACAAATTCTCTTGACGTTGCTGGACCAGTAGGGTGCTTCGCACCTACGGATCCTGTCCATTTTTTGACGGTCCGTCCCGTTGTTGCGTCTTTGCACCAACAGCGGTGGTGCAAACCCTGCCCCTTTCTCATGGGTGGACGGTCACTAAGCCCAATGTTGTGAGACACTGGACGAGGGGCAGTACCCTCGTAAGCGTAGTGTCCTGTATTTTGACATCTGTTGCATTTCTGCAACTTCTTGTAGTCTGTAGAGCGAGCCTTCTCGCTCTCTACACAACAGAGTTCCATCGGCTCTGGAACTCCGTTGTCATATCGTCTCGGTTGACGACATGATGTCGAGCTGGCGCGAGCCTGTCTCAGACTGAAGTCTTCCTGCTCCGCAATTGAAATGGCTTGTTCTAGTGAATCTAGTTCAAGTCGGAACAGGTGAGTCTTGACGGGACCATCCGCAAGACCCTTCATGAACACCGAAACCAGCGTGTGTTCATCAACCGGGTTGGAACTTCTACAACTCGTGAGATGTCGTATATGTTGCGCGTAAGCGTGCACATCACGCTTACCCTGTTTGAGCTTCAATGGTTCGGTTCGAGCTCTGAACTCAGCTCTAGGCGGTTCAAGCGTTTGTCTAAGCCGCGACTTGAAGACTTCCAATGACCCAAACGCATATGGGTCGTGCAACTTGAGCCCCAGTGCCCAAGTCTTGGCACGTCCTGCCAGATTTGACTGGGCAAATGCAACTTGCATTTCCCCATCGTCGATGCGACGCGCCCTTATGGCGTCGTCTAATTCGACGAACCATCTCAAGAGGGAGTCCTCTTCGACTCCCCTATACTTGGAGATGTCAATCTTCAAGGTCTCGGGTCGACGCGAATGCATCGACCCACCACTAGCAGCCTGCTGCTGTCTCAACAGTTCAAACTGTTGAGCACCCTGTTCTCTCAACAACTCTGCTTGTTGAGATCCTTGTTGTTGAAGCAAGGCTACTTTCTCGCGTTCTGCGTCAAGTTCATTTTGAATGAACTTGGCGATAGTAGCATGTTGGGCATCTCTATTGAGAGCCTCTAGCATGACGCTAACAGCATGGATGCCCATGGTTGAACCCATCCGTTCAACCGCATCCCATCCGACATCGCTCAAATGGGAGTAGCCGTCACGCGTAGCGTGAAAGCTTTGGTCATCATCATCATCTAACATATTCATGTTAGATGTGAACGTGGTCCTTGGACGGACTACGAAGTGCTACCAGGTGTAACGGGGCACCCTGAAGCTTGTACTGATGACAGTACAAGCTACTTATTCCGATGACAGAATACGGCGGTGCCTCGGAACTTCACGTACACTTGTACGTGCAGAGGAAGACGGTAAGGAGAAGCGAGTACTTGGTTTAAGTAAAAAGTAGAACTGTATTCAGTATGGTTTAATGTCTGTTAATAAATCACTATTTATCCTCATCTAACTATGTCTGAATACAAATGTGCATATCAACTATCCGCTCACCACTCGTTGCGTGCGTCTGTCGTGGCGCGTCTTCGTTGGTTGATATAATGGCCTATATCGACCAATTAGGAACTACTCGTAAGTGCTGCAGAATATTTGTCCTTATGACAATATTCTGAGAATATGACTCCTATAGTTATATTCTAGTAACAATTTCTTAAATATTGTTATGCAACGATTCACCCCGTTACATTCACCACAAGCATTTACACTGAAAATTCCAAGATCGTGGCTCTGGCACGGCGAGGTCCTCCGTGTCGTTTCCTTCCATGTCCTGGGTGGACCTTTTAATCACCGTGCAAGGCGGTTGATACCCTACAGTCAAATTTTAATTTACTTTCCAGTGAAAATGGTTGTACCAAATTAAAATAGCGACCAGTATTTGGTGTCCGGAGAGAATTACTAGCGTCGATGGAAAATGATATTGCAGTACTAATGGACTGCAGCAGGGCGTTCTCGAACGGAAGTTGATTGCGGAACACAGCATAAAGATGCGCGTTTATACGTGTCATACAGTAAGGATGCGTGTACTGCAACATGTGTCTTGTCGGTAGCGCACTTTAAACTGATTGAAAGCAGTCACTGCTGCACACCCTTAGATAAGCTATCCTTGTAATGAGGCGCCCTTTGTTCGGGGTGCCGCAAAACTTCACGTACACTAGTACGTGCAGAGGAAGCTAAGCTACTTGAACGACTCGATCAAGTAAGGTAAAAAGATAACTGTATTTAATATACTTAAGCTATCAATATAACTCTAATCTTTATCTAACTATGATAAACTACGCCGTCGTATGACGACAACCTGCTCACCACTCATTGCGCGCGTCTAGCAGTGATTGGTGGTAATCCATGGTTGATATGTCTTATATCAACCAACCTTGGAGCAGCGAATGAAATATTATCCAAAAGGGGATAACACTCCTTCAATATTACCCATCCCGGATAATTTTATTAGAATATTGTCATGCTAGACAATATTCCAATTGACACCGTTTGATGTCAACATCATGTAACGGAATACCCCGTTACATCATCCCCTCATAACCATCAATCACCCGTTGATCCGAATTATAATATATTTGGGACAGAGTGACCATCGTTGGATCACTCTGGAAAAGGGAGCACTTGTTGGTCGAATTCCATTCATTTGCCAATCCAACGCATGGTTTCCAAAACCACGCGAGCTGCTACTGCAGCAGCAAGAAGGGCGGCTGCACGCATACGTGCGGCCGCTGAAAGTGCCTCTCAGGCCTCAGCAGCAGGCGATTCGTCGCCTGTTGTTGTGAATCGTCCACGTGGTGAGTCACCACGTGCAACAGGTAGATCCGTTGCGTCCGCAGCGGGTACCTCGAATCGTAGTCAAGATGAGTTTGAGATAGAGCTCATCTATTCTGGCGAGTTGGATGATACATCCGGCTCGAAGGCGACGCCTCACGACTCCGGACCACCCGGGGCGGACACTGCAAGAGCCAAGTTGACTGGCTCTGGTCAGAGTGGCGGCATCATGCTCGAGATCTTCGGATCGAGCGATTTCCGACGAATCTCCGCCTCGCGCAAGTACATCCAAAGATAGGATGCGTGGAGATGGTGGTGATGCACCTATGCATCACCACGAGCGAAGCAACCTAAGGGATCGGGGTAACACTGGTGCCAGTGCTCATGCTGGCGCCAATCAAGAGGCCAGGGACCGAAATATCCTGCGCTACGCTCCTCAAGTGGAGTTCCCGTGGATGCCGCCATCTAGAGAATTGGATCGGTTGGCCGGCACTACTACCGAACGGGATCGAATCCCGTTGTTCGATTGCAGGAAGATTTGCCCTCCTGATTCCAGCACGGAAACTATCCGTGCTGATGAAGAGTTCTTCACTGATGCGTTTTTCAAACATCGGTGTTACGATAGCAGCCGTGGTCGAGGCGACAAGGCCTTGGTGCAAGAATGTAATGCCTTCATCTATAACATCGAGTGCAAATGCCGTGAGGCCTGGCTCAGTGAACTTGATGCAGCTCGCATCAGGTTTGAGGAGCATAACTAAGTCGGTCTACGATATAAGTTGCAACGACTGTCAAGAGAGGCAGGATTACCCTGTATCTTGTGGTGTAATTTGTTTCCAGGTTGCCTAGACAACAAAAAAGTTGCCTCTAGGGAGGCCTTCCTCTCTAATGATCTCTACTGGAGGGCGCGCATCTCTTCCGAGATGGCCGAAGGGATTGACACCTCGCAATTCCTGTACTCGCGTTCAAAGAGGTCGTTTACCGACGGCCCTTCTTTAAACGCAGCGGGTGGGTCTCGTCGTACTGCTCAACGAGACCAATGAAAATCAACAACCAAATGGGCACGAGGCTCCCAGCTGTCCCACGCCGATGGCTAGCCACGCCAGCGGACAAGGTAACTTGTCCGGACGCCATTCACATCGCGGTGGCTCAAAGTATGCTCCACTCGGAAGCGTTGACCACCGCTTGAGTCCACCAAAGGATGTGATGGCGTTGGGAACACCTGATCCGGCTCGAGGGTCGAATCAGCTTGATGTTCAAGAGCTGAACCGTCTAACGGAACAGTTGCAAGATGACCTGGCTCATTAACGATCTCGGCGCTATGGGCTTGAAGATCTTGTGAGGGATAATTTAAATTCCCTAACGCACGATCGTTCGGACGATCGTGCCGCTTTTGCGTTTGCGCAACTTGAGAACGAACATTCGACTCATTCTCTTCGTGATGAGCTGGCTGCTGCTCGTCGAGACATCGCAGAGCTGCGTGAACAGGTAGCTTCGCTAGTCGACCAGACTGGCTCGCTGAAACGGGACCACTTGAGGGTAGTCTTGGCTCTCGACCGTGGAGGTGTTCTTCGCATCTCGAAACGGGCTCGTACTGATAGTACGGGCAGAGACGACCGACGTAAAACGTAGGATGCGTACGCATCTTACGGGGCAGATCAATCGTGTATGCGTTGCCCATTTGACGCAACACACTAAATGGACCGATGTAGTTGGGCAGTAATTTACTGCTGCCCACTTTTGTCACTGCGTGCTTTAGTAAGTTTATTGTAGACGGTAGAACTAGGTCTTCTCCATCAAATGAAAGAACATTTGCTCTTCCATTTTTGTCTGCGTTTCTCTTCTGTCTGTCTAGTGCATCTGCAATAGAGTCTTGAACGAAGCGGACAACCGCTTCGCGAGTCAGCAGAAATTCCACTGCTGATTCATCCTTGTCAACAGCAGTGCGCTTCGTGTGCACTGCTTAAAGAACGTTGTTTTCACCAGTGAGGGTATCATCGTCCTCACTTTGGCGGTCATTGGCGATGTTAAATATGCTAGCATCGTCGTCATCGCCATCATCGACATCGATCCCATTGACTTCGGCATCCATCACGTCGACACCACTGTCGACGGGTGATGAGCAAGAACCAGATCGGTTTTTGTTCGAGCGAGTCCACCCCCCCTTAAACTAGAGTCACACTCTAAGAAAGCGGGTAAACGTGGATGTCCTACACCATCCACGAAGAACGTTGTATGCTTTGAGTAAGCATGCACCGAGTTGCTGATGGCGAATTCCGCCATCGGCAATAACTCACTCCAACTCGTACACGAGTGGACACACCCTCGAAGTATCTCTTCGAGAAAGCGGTTGACGCGTTCTGTTCTCCATTTCTGTTTCGGGATGGTCCGAAGTTGACATCATCAAAAATGTTCCTAGTGAACGGAACACGGATTGCCAGAATTCCGCTGTGAAGCGGGGGTCTCGATCAGACACGAGTTCACGGGGTAACCCGTGAAGTCGGAAGATAGTATCGATGAAGACACGCGTACAGCCCTGGGCTGTAATTGACTCCGGTACAGCAACAAGATGTACCATCTTGCTAAACCGGTCAACAGACACAAGAATACCAGTATTCTTGTGAACGTCTGTGGGAAACCCGAAGAAGAATTCCATCGATACGGACTGCCAACACTCTGCCGGAATCGGAAGAGACTGTAAGGGTGCGCGGGATGAAGGAATAGGCTTCACCCGTTGACAAACTTCGCAAGCGCGAGTGTATTTGCGCACAAATTCATACTGGCGGGGCCAGTAGAAGTCACGACTCACCATGAGGTAATTTTTTTCTCTACCGCGATGCCCACTTTTTGGGGCATCGTGACACTCATACATGATGCGCAATCGCAAATCATCATGAGCGGGAAAGACGGCACGAGGCGTGTCGCTGGTGACTGCTGTATAATACAGCAGTTCATCACAGACCGAATACCGTTCAGTTGAAGAGCGGTATTGAGACGACAAGCTTTTCAAAGCCTGATTACACAAATTATTCACGTAATCCATCAATTGCAGAAGAGACTCATCTTCTGCATATGCTTTCCGCACATCGTCTAACAGATTCGACGACAAAACACTCACTGTTAGTGTCGCTACAGTGGAATTACCCCTACTGTTGGGTTGAGCAGCTGGCTCGAAATCGGGCCAACGCGAAAGAGCATCAGCGACGACATTAAGTCGTCCTGGTTTATACTTGACTTAGAAGTTGTACTTCGCGAAGAAGGACAGCCTCCTCGCCATTCGTTGCAAGAGGTGTGGACTGTTTACGGCCGTGTGAAACGACGCATGGTCGCTATAAACGATGAAGGGCCTATCTCCTAAGAGATATACCCGAAACTTGGCTAGTGCATATTTCACGGCAAGGAGTTCCTTGTCATGCACCAAATAATTTTGCTCAGCTGCTTGCAGCTGACGCGATTGATGACAGACGAAGCGCTCTGCGACTTCTAAGTCGTTCTGTTTTAACTCGCAGTCGATTGCAAAATCGCTGGCGTCGCAGGCCACGTGGAATGATCTGTCTTGGTCTGCAATTACCAAGACGAGCAATTGCATCAAGCTCGGCTTTATGCCTTCAATAGATTGCTGACACTCAGCGTTCAATGACTACCTCTCATTTTTCTTGAGTAGACGAGATAGATGTACAGTCATCTCGGCATAGTTGTGCGAGTATTTGTGCAATTACGCCGCCAAGCCAAGGAACATTCGAAGTATCTTGAAGTCGACTGGAACAGGCCAGTCGCTAATCGCCTTTATCTTTTCTGAATCAGGGCGTACACCGTGTCTATCCATTATGCGGCCAAGAAGTGGCATTTCGTTCGCTGCGAATATACACTTCTTAAGGTTCGCGAACAACTTATGCTCTCGCATAAGCGTAAGAACCTTCCGAACTTAGATTCTATGAACCTCCACGTCCGTCTTCACATCCATAGCCCTACCATGGACGAAGCCATTGTCAAAGTAACTCGGTGGGAAATCGCACACCGCTCGCAACAGGTTGGTAACAAATCTTTAGACGTCGCGGGGGCGTTACTTAGCCCCTGTGGCATTACTAGCCACTACCAGAGGATATCACTGGGGGTGCTCACTGCTGTGTACAATATGTACCGTTCACGCATGAGGATCTGATAGAATCCATCTATCAAATCCATGGACGAAAAGATGGTATCTTAGCCATACCATCAATGAAGACGTTCTTCCTTGGAATCGGCGTTTGAGCCGGTACCGTTGCAGCATTCAATTTGTTGAGCGCGTGCACTATCCGCCACCCTTTTGTGGACTTTCGCACACAGAAGGTCGGAGAGCTGTGTGAGGATGTTGATTCCCTCACATGACCAGCCGCTAATAGATCGGTGAAGAATTTGTCGATCGCTGTTACCTGTTCACGAGGCAGTGGCCACTGCTCCACGACACAGTATTTCGAACCAGGTTTCAGCTCGATCTCATGCCGAGTGCCTTTGTCTTTGGGCAGCTCGCATGGCACGGATTCCGGGAAAACATCCCTGAATTCCACCAAATCCCTTTACAAAGGATTTGTCTTTAAAGACTCCCAAGATTGAGACGTGTATCGCTCAATCCGGGTCTTTCATCGAGGACACTCTCGTCCATAGATAAACTACTGAGAACCCGTTCGTTCTCAGCAAACACTTGTGACGACCGAATATCGGCGACGCCCTCTTTTTCTGTGACGAGTACGCAGATCTGCTTGATCTTGTCACTACGCAGATCTCGCAAGAATCTTTTAGATTCTAGCGTTGGCAACTTGACCACCTCCGAAGCTGACTTCGGGGGCGTCACACGATCAATTTTATTAGCGCCTACACTTGATCCGTCATTCACCAAGACATTCACTGACTCGGTAATTTCCTGGGAAAACACATTCGCAGGTGGTTGGGGATCCACATCCTCAATATAACTCTCTCGGAAGTTATTACTCTCAGGAACGCCGAAATTTTCTTCCGTTACGGGTACTATCACGGTCACGTCCTCTTCGATCAACTCTCTTTCATTCGAGCGGGCTTGCTCTACGATAGACTCTCTGATAGTAGATCTCGCTTCAGCGTGTTTTCCATCCTGAACAACACTAGTATCTATTCTCGGATGCACCCTTCTTGGTGTGCATCCGTGCTCCATTCCACTCGATCTCATCGAGTGGTGAAATTTCGGCGCAGCCTGTGTCTCTACAAAGGTGCCGGAAGCTGGTTCCAGAGTGTAGTGGCCTTCTACACTGTGATCTTGTGCAATCTTACTAACGACCATACCACAAGTGAGGCCATCGCACTCACTCGTAGTACATCCACACGCTTGTGGATGCTCCAAGACGTTCATCAGATGGCCATCTGATGAACAAACGGCAGGCATCTTTACGGATCGATGCTGCCAGCTAACCCGTGGCCGGTACTTTTTAAGCCATGGCAGACCAAGGATGACATCAGATTTGTCATTTAAATCTAATACGATAAATTCATCATCGTATTGTTTTCCTACTAGCGTGTATAGGATTCCCACTCACGTTTTTTCACTGTTACGGATGCGCCTGTAGCAAGGCTTACCGTCATCCTCGTTAGAGGGAACTCTCGCTCAACATAGTTGAGACTACTATCCCTTAGCGACTGGCGTCGAATGAAACTGTTCGACGCACCACATTCGAATAGGGCGCGAAGTGACATTCCACTTGTCACTTCGGTCTTCGAAGTGATGCAAGACACCTCATCACTAGGGGCAGTAACACACAGCGACTGTGTGTCGGATGCAATCTTCGTCAAGAGTCCTGCAAATTCTCTTGACGTTGCTGGATAAGTAAGGGTTCTACGCCCCTACTGACCCTGTCCGTTTTTTGACGGTCCGACTTGCTGTCGCGGCTTAGCGACATGGTCGGACCCACGCCTTTGACCTTTCCTTGGCCAACGGTGGTTATCTCGTCCTGTCTTTGGGCGTGTTGCAGTGCTCGGAAAACTTCACTCATGAGCGCAACATCCAATCTTCTGACAGCGGTGGCATCTTGCCGTTCGCTTGTGACTCAGAGAGCGAGAGTTCTCGCTTTCGATGTAACAGAGGTCCAATGGTTCGGGACCTCCTGTTTCCTGTCGCCTCGTCGGACGATAGTTGGAAGAGTTAGCCTGAGACTGTCTCAGGCTGAAGTCTTCGTGTTCCGCATACGCTATCGCCTTTTCCAGCGTATGGAATTCCTCTCAGAACATGTTAGTCTTCACCAGTCCATCTACAAGGACGTAGATGAACACTTCGATGAGCGTATGCTCATCAACAGGGTTCTCCGTAACGCTACTTGCGAGGTAGCGCAGGTGCTGTGCGTAAGCGTGCACGTCACGCTTACCTTGCTTTAGCCTCAAGAGTGCAGAGCGTGCTCTGAACTCGGCTCTCGGCGGCTCAAACGTGTCTTTGAGCCGAGACTTCAAGATCTCCCACGACTCAAATACGTTTGGGTCATGAAGCTTGAGCCCTAAGGCCTAAGTCTTTGCTCGTCCCTTCAAATTTGACAGGGCGAAGGTTACTTGCATGGGACCTGATGGCATCGTCTAACTCGACGAATCTTCTCAAAACGAATTTTTTATCGGTTCCCTTGTACCTTGAGATGTCTATCTTCAAGGTTTCGGGTCGACGTGAGTGCGTCAGACCGCCCATCGACTGATGAGAGCCTTGCTGTTGTAGCAAGGCTATCTACTGTCTTTCGACGGCAAGTTCCCCTTGTAGGAACTTGTTGATAGCATCATGTTGCTGGTCTCTGCTTAAAGACTCCAACTACCACTGATGGCGGGTTCGCCATGAGCACGCTCATGTGGCCGATTACCTCCCATTCTGAGTCACTCAGGTGGGAGTAGCCTTCACGTGTGACGTGAAAGCTGTCGTCTTCTACGTCCAACATATTCATGTCTGACGGACACTAAGCAGTCGTTGGACGGACTGCAAAGTGCTACCAGGTGTAACGGAGCACCCTTTGTTCGGGGTGCCGCGAAACTTCACGTACACATGTACGTGCAGAGGAAGCTAGTCTACTCAACGACTAACTGAGTAGAGGGTAAAACGAGAAACTGTATTTGACATAGTTAAGCTATTAATATAACTTTAATCTTTATCTAACTATGATAAACTACGCCGTCGTATGACGACAACTCGCTCACCACTCATTGCGCGCGTCTAGCAGTGATTGGTGGTAATCCATGGTTGATATGTCTTATATCAACCAACCTTGGAGCAGCGAATGAAATATTATCCAAAAGGGGATAATAATCCTTCAATATTACCCATCCCGGATAATATTAGTAGAATATTGTCATGCTAGACAATATTCCAATTGACACCGTTTGATGTCAACATCATGTAACGGGCTACCCCGTTACAATCCTTGTGATAGCTAAGATCGACGCTCAATGGCGTCATCACTATGACGTAAATTTGACCGTCGAGACACCGTTCGACTCGAGACGGGGGTGATGTTAGGTCCATCTCAGCCCACCGCGAAAAGCGCTAGTCACATCTTGTCATTTCGACGGACAGCGACTTCAGTGATAAAGGAAACCACGTAAAAACATTGTGCCTGCTTACGGTCTCAATGTGGAAGAAGTGATATCTTTTAAGGCTAACTCTGCACATGCAAAAGTTCAGGAGCCGTGCTGACTTCGGCACAGCACGACCGATGGCGAACCGTCACCGTAACTTGGAATATACTTGCTTTCTGCGTACGCACACCAATACTTTTGCCCATAGCTAGGGATCGTGCCATGGTCGTTCTGATCATGACACAGCCATTTTTCGACCTGACCATCTACTTGCTATATGTGAGCACATCGTGAGTTCATAGTGGTGCACATAGTCGGCAAAGGGGGGGGGGAGTAAGGCGAAGGGAAGGGAAGGTAGGACAGTCGGACCTACACTGATCGCACCCGATCGTTCTGACTTACCCGAACAAAGGTAGATGATTCTGCATTTACTTGCGTACACCAATTCAGAAACAGTCCATGCCATCGCGAAAGGTGAGCTCACGTTCGGCCTCGATCAATCACTTGCGCACAGAAAGTAAGAAATCCGAATGATGCGATAATTGAGCCATTGTGCATGCATGTTCACGTCCAACGTCGACGCATCAAGCAGTCCCAACATCTCATGGTCCTCTAGCATGTGAATGCATTCAGGGGACAAACACAATATGATGAATCTGCTACGAAACGCACCACATTCCCATAATGAAGTCCTCAGCAATCTGTAGACTGGATTCATTTACCACTGCCAGGTCATTCAGCATGCACGTACATTATAGATACCAACGCATGACTCGTTCCGGTGCGAGCAACGACCATGCGTCAAGGTCGCACCAGCGTCAAGATCCAAGACATTATTGATCCATTCGAACCTGTGAAATCGCTCAACTTACCTCATAAATGGTGTACAGTCCAGCTGGTTCCTGCTCGAGTTGGTCACTCGTGTCTCGATCTACTAACGCACACCAAAGAGCGCTTAATCATGAGACAAGCACCGCCTTTCAATACTTGGGCATGGCGATGTACATCAAATTCACAATGTCAAAGCAGGTAGAGAGAGACCTTTATCGAAAGTTTTAGTCTTCTTGTGACGATACGTATCCATAGGTACCATTGTGGTCGTCAGTCCATGGCAGCTCGCTACGCATCTATCTACCTTACGCAATTCATGGCACTCCCATCACTATCTACGACAGCGACAGACAGCATGAACCCGCGCAACCACGGAGCTTTTATATTAATCGTTCTTCTATTGTACGTCTGAAGTCAATCTACCTTCGCCCCACTTGCCTTCGCAGCAGCATCACGCCCGCCTTCACTCTTCTTTTCTGCCATCCCCCTCCGTGTTTGAGTCCACACGAGCACCAACAGAAAAAGGAGAGAGAGACAAAATTCAACCACGTCGTCGCCATCACAGTATCCCTCACCACAGCACGAACCCCCAGCGTGTCCCCCCCTCTCTCTAAGTACGCAGTCGCCCTAAGTGCGACCAATGCTCTATTTCGTGGCAGTCAAGTGTCGTGCCAGTTCTAGTCCATACAAACGAGAAGACAAAAGAAACCCCCGCGAGGGGACCACCCGCGTATGGCCCCACTTTGCTGCCTAGCACACGGAATCCATGGCAGCAAACTGCTCCGAGAGCGTCCGGTTGAGCGAACAGCGCGACACGGGATGGCGATCCACGTCCACGTCGTCCGGCACGACGTCGTGCGTGGCCGCTACGAGCGCCAGTTGTGCCTCCATCTCGGGCGTCCACTCGCAAAAGTACAGACCGTGGCGCACATTGAGGAACTGCATGAGGATCTGCACGACGCCGCGGTGCGTGCTGCAGTGGGCAATGGCGGCCACGGGCACGTGGCGGAGTCTGGCCAGCACGTCACGGAGGAACGTGTCGAGCGCCACTTGGGTACCGACGCGGAGGGGGAGGCTCCTGGCGCTGCCGGCGACGCAGACGGGGCAGCGGTCGCTCTTGCCGCGACTCATGGCGCCCACGAGGCGGAACATGTCGAGCACGCTCTTAAAGTCGTCTTTGCTCTTGTAGACCGACGTGCTCTTGCCTTTGCACGTCACTTTGACCTCAAACAGCTTGGTGTCCCCCAGGGCGTGGGCCTCGACGACGCGGGCGCTTAGTGTCGGACACACGCCAGTGGTGGAGGCCGTTTGTGAAGTAGCTGAAGTAGTCGTTGCAGCACGAGCCATGGTGAAGTGGCAGCAGGCAGTGGGAGGAGCAAGCGAAGAGAATGGGGCGGGAATGGGTCAAATAGTCGGAAATAAGTCAATAGTCGGAAATGGGTCAATGGGTCGGAAATGGGTTTGGCTGGCGTGAGCTGAGGGCAATCTGGCGTTTTGACAACTGACAGCGCAGGGACAAACGAAACGAAAGGCGCCGCGGGGTTGGCGGCCGCCGACTGCTCTCTTGACTGGCCTCCCTCGTGCTGTTACACGCGCTCGGTCCCAGCTTTTCACCCGCTTCGCTCCAGTATAGCACGACTTGGCTCGACTATGCCGAGCGCGGACCGCTGACGCCGTCGTCGGTTCCGCCAATGAACGCACGCGGTTGCAGACGAGACGGCCGACGGCTGTCTCGCCTCTGCACGCTCCGAAAAAAAAGAAGACAAAAAGACGAGCCAAAAGCCACAGCAGACGAGCCAGAACCCGCCTCAGGAGGAGCGACACAGCAGCAGCAGCAGCCGGTTAACCGACCGACATCGGCCACTGGGCACTCCCACCCACACAGGTGCTACACCAGATAGTACGTCCCTACACCACGTCTTGGTCGTTTTCAGGCGGTGTTTTTTTTAGAAGTGCGGATTTCTATGCGACGTGCGCGAAAGTGGCGAAAACCGGCCTGCGTTTCGAGTCTCTTGTTGCGGGGTCGAAAGCCGTTTGCTGAGCTGTTTGCTGGGCTGAGTGAGTGAGTCGAGATGATGCACGCGTGCGCGCATCATCTCGTCACTTTTGAGTGAGAAAGAGATGTAAACCTATATCTATCGCAGGGTAGGTACGTGCTTACGGCCACAAAGCCTGGACGTTTTATTCGAAAGAAGGGCTATAGTACTCGGGTTCCCATCTGTAAAGAGCTTTAAGCGAGCGGCTGCAGCCGAATCAAATGCTTGGTGACTGTAGAGAGCCAGCGGCTTCCTTCAGTACAAATCGATTGAACATCGGAGGATCCGAAGACAGTCTCACCTGCAAGAGGAGGTATCGATCGACCATAGCGTCAAACGCCGTGGCAATATCCAGGAATATCGTCGCACAGACGGTAATCAGGCGTAGAAGGGATCGGGCAGGCGTTACAAGCGCATCTGGATACAGAAGTAAAGACAATATGCCCTTGCCAGCCGACAAGCTGAGGGGATAAGCTAGGCAAGACTTATTACTCCGCTACGTCAGGGCGTGGTATTTCTGGGGTGAGCGGGCACCGAATGTGTCACGTGCTTGGCAGCAATCGGATGGTTTGAGCGTCGAACGGATGCGTGTTAGCTTCAGAATATGGCAGATGCTGGCTGCAACGGATGTTCCCTCCCGCGTGAAGTTCGGACAGTAAGCACCTCGCTGAGCTTATTCTTGCCGGACTTTGCAGCCGTTGGTAACCTACGTCCAGGGTCTTACCATTTGCCAATGTGTGTTACGTGCGTGGGCAAAGGCAGTGCCTTCTACGATGTGTAGTTTAGTAGTCATTGAACTGGAACGTAACTTGAACATATCATCGGCACAAGACACAATTCGTTGAAGGACCTGGGCTCATGATCGAGTTGTAGGAATCCATCGCGTCATGGATCATTCTTACTGAGCACGCTGTTCTATGATGTAGGCGCGCACCTCCAGAAGTGAGAAGGTGTAATCGCCCCATGCCACTTTGACGTGGATGACTTTGACTCACGTAACGTCCTGCACAGCCACAATTAAGGTTTTCATGGGGCTGTGTTCTTTTCTGCATGAGCCTGATCGAACAGCTACCGTGGACCCGAATCAGTCGTGGAGCAGTTAGGAAACCGCTGCTTTAACTCAACACTGCACCGTTATCTGATACAGCTGAGTGAGATGTGGGTTTTGACAATCGGTACGTATTTATATCCCTAGGTCATGAAAAAGAGGCAGCGATTACGAAGTGACTGTACAGAGTAGTAGAAGTAGCAGCAGTAGTAGCTGAAGTCGTAAGAGTACCACCTTCTTCGAATAGGATAACCATGAAGATGCAGTTAAAGAAGAGTAAACGACAACACGTGTCGTCGTTGTTGTCTGAAAAAAGATATAGCGCTTACCCATGAGATAGCACCCTCAGTCTTGGACCGTCGCGACATCCTCGTCATGTGATTGAAACCTCCCAACGCAGGACAAGATTGCATATTTTATGATTTCAAGATTGTCCCTACGGATCCAGCACTGTCTTGTTCGCAAGCACAGACAGTTGCCGGTCGTCACAACATTACAGGGCACCCTATACAAAAAAATTGCCAGTCCAAGTACCGTGAACGTCTACTTGACCTCAAGCCAGCGAACGGGTGGAGCATGAGACCGATTGCTCTGCTTGCTTCCGATGTGATTATGTGTCCGCGGAATGAGCTCATGTTGGGTGAAGCGGTACCGCTGGTAGTCGGATAACTCTCAAGCCCAATCGCTATATCGAACTCTGTGTGAGGAACGTTCGCGTAGATCATGACGGCTGTATCACACCGCGACACACGAGTCGTAATAGTCCCATTCCTTCTCCACATCGCTTTCTTGCTTGATATCTTGGTGGATTGGTCGAGAATAGTGGTGCTTCCCGCATGGTGAATGAGACCAGCTTCTGTACCACACCGAACATCTACGTAGAACCCTAGTACATCTTCAGTCATTGCAACCAGTTCCTCTTGTTGGCCATCTAGACTTGAAAATGAAAGACCTGGTGTCTTCAAGGCTTGTGTAGTCTGCATTTGTAAGGCCTTTAAGGTTCCAACGCTCGCTTGTCGATCGTAAATCGTTGTGCAACTACCATAAGCGTTGCCTTCACTGCTTGCACAGCTCTAACGTCGTCAAGACAACAAGAAGGTCAACTCTTTTCCTTACAATTTGCCGAGCAGCGACTCGACGTTCTTCTGTTATTATGGATGATCGAACCTGCTCTCGAGTCATGTTGCGTTCCTGAAGCAAATAAAACTCCACATAACTTCATGCTGAAATCGAAAATACGTACCGTTTTCATCGAAAAAGCGGTAGGATGAACATGGCTTTGATAATCGTGTATCCTGCATTTGCTGCTGGCACTGAAATGCACCGCAGAATCATGACAAAGACGTCAACGGAATTGTCAACAGCTAAAATGCAAATGTCTGCCTAGCTTGTCACTCTTTGGCAGAGGTTCTACGTCCGCAGTTCCGATCTGGATAAAAATCGACAAGTATTACAGGACCCCCAACGGTTGTTGCCTTCCCGATAGTAAAGACTGTGTATTCGGAAGCCCACAGGAATGTGCGTGGGTCTGTGCTGAGATACTAACTGAAGTACTGAGCTCGCACGCTCGATAAACTGTTGATAGGAAGATAAAAGCTGTCCGTGCAGTAGCATCTCCTTGCGCGTACAACGATATCGAATGACTAGCACTAAATGTTATTTCCCAACGCAAAGCCCGGTCCAACCCTGGCGTTATCCACCATATCGCACGAATATCGAGGTGTCTTCAACAAAACGAACAAGAAGAGCGTGGTAAGTCGTAGCAGTGTGCCCCTAGTCGCTTTCCGCCAATCGTTTGGCGTATTCGGAACAACGTTGTGTGACTGTAAGGTCTGGGAAACCTCATTCGTACTTTCAATCTTAGTAAAAACGAGAATGGCCGGTACTAATAACTTCAACCTGCTCGATGTTCGTGCAACGACGATCATGTCAGTGAGGGCTTTCGTCAGGACGAAGTCAATCACCATACGATAATACCGCTAAGTTCTGATCTCGGCCACGTCAATTTACCAAGCCGCTCCATTCAGCAGACTCGCTTCCTGGGCGATCATGAGTTCATGTATCGAAACATGAGAAGAACTTCACATATATTTTGATGCGGATCGATGAGAAATGGTATGGTAACGCATCGTTCCAGACAAGAGTGATACACGCCGTTATCAATTGCTTTAATTCGCAGTTGGCAGACACGTTTGTGACCTACAACGAGTAGTAGCTTGTCAAGATAGTCCATCCTATGGATCCTTCACATTTGTACCTTGTTAACAAAGCACGCACGCACCCTTATAGCAAACTGCATTCCTGATAATTCTCTACACGCTGGGCCTGCGCATTGCGCAAGACTCAGCGTGCAATGCCGTCCCATTTGGGATACCGATCATTTACTATCTCCACGGGTGTATTCGATACATCAGCTCACGACGCCGATTCTTGCAAAATCGCAGAAATAGCATAAACCGACCTGCGCGCTACCGGACTCAGCGGACGGCTACCAGAAATACGCTGGAATTGCAAACTATTTCCCTTACAGACGTTTATTTGGCATTTCCCCTTGTCAGCAGTGAAGCGCGACGAGGATCACAAAGAAAGCTACATGTCACATATTGATGGTAGGTTCGAAGTGGCCATTGCTTATGCTTTTTACTTGCTTCGATACAGCAGTCATTTCTGCTAATCGCGGATTGCAGTATTCCACACATAACTATCATCGAAAAGTAGCTTTCTCGTTGCACCACGCACAAGAGTTTGGTGCGGTGTATGGATTTCAACCCCGATTGTCATGACAGTTGTTATTAGCCGGGAGATCTGGTGTGATTCAGGATGCCTTACGGCTTCTCGGGGCGTGTTGTGGCCGGCCGCTTTAGCATTTAGAAACTGTCGATCATACTAATACCTCATTACGAGGAGGCGTATGATACGCGCTCTTTCTTGTCGATTTCTATGCACTTGCACACCACTTTACGATAAGGTCGTTTTGAAGCGGCTTCTACCAGGCTCTGCTTTCTGTCGTGCGATAGGATGTGGCTCAGCCATCCATTCAGCTGGAGGAGCTGGGATGGCGCGTGGCAGGAAGAAAATTGTCACGAGTTTGGCTCAAAACACGCGAATCGAGAGGACTGATAAAAGCACGCTCAGTAGAGCATTTGCCTCTCGGATTGTTGCGTATTTGCAATGTGTGTGTGGGCTGTTCAGCTCTTGTTATGTAGGAATCTGGTGTGCAGAGCTGCGTTTGCGAATTCGTTTCCACGGCTGGTAAGGATCTGATTCTAGAGTTTATACATTGACATCACGTTTTCCTGGTCTGCGGCCAAACTTTCGTGTATAAAGTTCTCAGAGCCATAAGAGAGAGCTTTATGAGTCGCTAAAAGGGGTGTACACATCGATACGGTACATCTAGATAGCCTCGTATTTCATAAGCTCTCATGCATTGTCAGCCGTCGTTTACTGAGATTCCATCCTTCGTCTACTCCTTACAGCAATTGTTGAAATGCAAACAGTATCGAGGTCGAAGTTGCGCTTGGAAGCTCTCACCGGATTTACCACAACTCTTCTGATGAACTCTGTCGATTTTGCAGTGCCTGACTTACAACAAAATCGTCGCGTCGGCCGTGTTTCAGGCATCGAAAATTATCTTGAAACAATGAGAACGTGTGGAAACTGCCGAACAGGTTCAGTCATCGACAACTGCATATCCTCGACTCATCCATTTAAACGAGTGCGGACATGACGTCAATTTGCAACTATATAAGCACGATTTTGATTGGGATAATCTGGATTGCATGAATACTTCGTCTGGCCTTGCATGTAGGCACGTGCTTATCGCCTTGAGACGTAAACTCTAATCCAAGGACCCAGACTCGCTTCATCCCCATTCCGTCAGACCGTTTAATAGTTAGCATTTACCGCGTATTGAGCCACACCTTATCTGTACTTGTGCGACTCGTCCCACACTTAGACATTCATCGTTTCTCTACTCCTTAGTCTCTCTTTCGCTCTTGTCTCATCCTCACCTGAGTCTCACGCACTAAACACAAATGCTGTAAACGCTTTCGAGAGCTATTCATTCAGTATCGTTTGCAACCCCTCCTACCGATCAGACTTCGCTTCTCGGCTGCACTAACTTTTGACCGTAATCATTTTCAACGGACCAAGATAATGACGCCAGCGATCGCTTCTCACATTTCAAATCTCCGCGAGTCTGAAAATTTCGTGCTCTTTCGCGGCATGTTTCGATCGCCATGTGACGGTACCATGTACCACCCGCCAGTACGATTTGACAGTAGGATATATTGCTACAGACTGGCTCAATTGCGAAATATCTGAAAATATAGTGGTAAAAAAGGGCTGCGACGTGACTAAACAACGCTCTCGTCAGCTCTCGCGTGCAAGCGTCTTATGTATGGATCGAACAACGTTCGACAGCTAACTTCGAACGCCAGTCCACGTGGACTACCTCAACTCCGATACCAGGCAGCCGTCACGAGTGCCTTCATAACCCTAGCCGCTCTACATCAAACACAAGTCGTTTTCAACCAATACTTTTCTACTTCGTCAGCGATTCCAGCAATAATTCACAATAACAAGATCCGCTGTGCGCATTTGATCGCACCACTTGCGCAGGATCGGCAACATGGTGCAATCAAAGGCGCACATCGTGCCGCATCACAGTTGCGTTTCCCTTCAACCCCGCACTGCCTCCCGTTCGTTTCCCTTTTAAACTCCCCTCTCTCTCTCTCTCCCCCCCCTCCGCCCTTTCTCATGCCTCCCCGCGTACCCCTCACCATCGGCCTGTTTGGCTGCGGTACCGTCGGCGGCGGCGTCTTCGACTTGCTCCACGACCCCGCGCGTCGTCAGGCGCTCAGTCGCCTCGGCGTCGACGCGCGCGTGGCCAAAATCTGCGTGCAAGACGTGCACAAAGACCGCCACCTCGCGCACCTGTCGCCGAGCGAGACGTCGTTCACCAGCAACGTCCGCGACATTCTCGACGACAGCCGCATCAACTGCGTCGTGGAGCTCATGGGCGGCGTCCAGGCCGCAAAAGACGTCGTGTTCGAGGCAATCCAAGCCGGAAAGCACGTCATCACAGCCAACAAGGCGCTCGTCGCGTCCTGTCTGCCCGAGATCGAGCAGCTCTTGCGCGCGCATCCACACGTGCGCTTCAGCTACGAAGCGGCCGTGGCCGGGGGCATCCCCATCATCCACACGCTCCAGAGCGCCTACAACAGCGACACGATCACGGAAGTTGCCGGGATCTTGAACGGCACGACGAACTACATGCTGTCTAAGATGGAGACGCAAGGCGTGGCGTACGACGCGGTACTGAAAGAGGCGCAGGCGCTCGGGTTCGCCGAAGCCAACCCGAGCGCTGACGTCGATGGCTACGATGTCCAGAGCAAGATTGCGATCTTGACGAAACTGGCCTTTGGCGGCGTCGTGCAGCCAGCGGCGATCCCGACCATGGGCATTGCGCGGCTCTCGGCAGCGGACTTTGAGTACGCCAAGATGATGGACAGCACGATCAAGTTGCTGGGGGTGGCAAAAGTCGTGGGAGAGACGAATACCGACGAAAGCCAAACAGATACCGGTAGACCGACTGTCGTCACGGTATTTGTGTCGCCAGTTGTGGTACACTGTACCAACGTCATTGCGAGCATCAGCGGCGCAACGAACCTCGTGAACGTGCGCTCGCTTAATCTTGAGAGCACGGCGTACGTCGGGCCAGGCGCGGGTCGCTTGCCCACGGCGAACTCGGTCTTGAATGACATTGTTCAGCTCGCACGTGGCGACGCGCCGTGCGATCCGTTTATGCACGCGAAGCCGCTGACGCTCGAGCCCGACTATGAAGCGCGGTTTTACGTGCGCATCACGATCACGGACGGATTGGGCATTATCCGCCACGTGGGAGAGACGGCGGAAGCGAGCGGCGTGTCGATTTACTCGATTCTTCAGGCGCCGATCGTCGACCGCGCGCACGTGCGGTTTGTCGTGACGACAGAGATGTCGCCGTTGTCCAAGGTGCGCGCCATGTGCCAGAAGATTGCGGCATTGCCGTTTGTGCAGGAAGAGCCGCTGTTTCTACCAATCATGTAAGCAATCGTGGTGACAGAGCCGGTGCAGTATAGTGCCACGACGTCGAGGAATGATGGTAGCACAAAACGGCGTGCGCTGATGTTTACGTTGTCAATTGAAGACATGGACGTTGCTGTTTACCTTGTTGTCCTTGGACGGTAGAATGATGTTTACACACGCCACGACGACCTCTCTTTCTTTATATTTCAAAGAGTTTGGATTTTAGAGATCGACGTGGCGAAGTGTGAGGGAAACGCGTGTACCCATTTCGACATTGTCGATGCTGTGTAAGTAGCGTGAATAGGCTTCAGCCGTGAACACGAGGAGACTGCGACGTTGTAGCTGGAAGGTCGAGTGCTGAGTCGAGTGGCTCCAACTGGCTGCACGATGTGGCTCAAAAGTGACACGGCAGTCCGCGCCTGTGCTGAGGATGGCAACTAATGGGAAATACGCCGGTCCGTCCTCGTGCGGCAGTATACAGTCCCCCACTCTATATTCTTGTTAGCGCGTCAAACAGTCGTTAGTTGTCGTGACTATGATAGTATCTCAGCAAGGTCCAGTCATGCCCAAAACTCACTCACCATTGATCAGTGCGTGGTTGGGCGTCTTTTCTTCACCAAAGATCCCCACACCCACTAGTGTCTGACAGATCTGCGTGAGCCATTGAGGCAGTGGCGTGGATTCAAACGGACTCTTGACTTCGCCTCCCCACATTTGCAGACGGCGGTGCTTCAGTTGTACCCAACTCTCGCTGTCGTCCGGGATTGTATACACCCGTTCTAAAATAGCGTCCTCCTCGTCCGGCGTTATCCAATCGGGAATGTAATACACTCCACGAATCGGACCTCGCCGGAACGTTTCCAGGTCAATTGGCTGTACTGACCTGAATACAAAGACAGACACGAGAGACCGACTCAAAACTGGGTGTTGTCTTTTCCCGTTGTTCGTTTTTAAGGAATGAACAAGCACGTTGGAAGTTCCCACCTTTGATTCCACACTCTCAATAATGGATCATGGTGTACCGAGTTTATACGCGGCTCTTTGACCGGCGCGACTTTTTCGGTTGTTTTCGACTCAACGATCGGCGTATGCGTTCGAGCAGTAGCCTCACGGGCACGTCGACGCTCGTCGCGTAATAGTCGGCAAAAGTCCATGTAGCGATACGGAGACCTATGTGAGACTTAGCTGATTGGCCGTAAAAAGAGAAGGTCTTCGTGTCGGTTCTGTGTAGTCGTTCAAACGGGTTTCGCGGTCGACAAGGATCACTACTCGTTTGTTTTCTGTCAGCTGAAGCCGTTTTGTGCTGCTTGATGAGACGACCGAGACACAAATTTGGGGCTTTTTGATAGCAAAAGTTGATGTCAAATGGAAGATGTTGGGTATGTACAGCGAGCGACTGAAGCAGTGGCATAATAAAGGCAACAAAAGCAAGCAATGCGGTTTGTGACTCGCTGTTGGGCTTGAACAGTGACCACCGTCAATTGCGTGACCCTTTATCAAGTACAAAGGTCAGTTGCATGTAAATCTGGGACCTACAGGCTAGGAGAATGAGCCGCTTGCCCGGTTCTGAACGAGTATATCCAGCAGCAAGCACACAGCGCTGTCAGGCAGGATCGCACTGGTGGTTGCTCGTGACCATCTTGTACAACGATCTGGATCATTCAGAGAGACCGTGTTCGTTAGTATCCCGTCCTGATGAATGACCCGTACTGCCAAACGGTCCACGTTGCCATCGATCCCTCTCATTGTGCGACCATTATCGATATGCGACTTGCATTTCTAAAGACGTCATAAACTTCGGACTCATATTTCTAAGATCCGAATCTGCAAACTACTGCATTCTAAAATCCGTATTGCTGAACGATCGGCGTTGCTAAGAGGATATCTAAACGATCCATCTTGCCTCGATATCTCTATCGCTTTTTTCCCCACCAAGCGCAGTGGCCGGAAGTCCTTCTTACCATCTTTCTTTACCTGTCCTTCCGTATTAAACATGCTTATGCGTTACTGAACGCTGCATTTTGCACAAATATCTTTATCGTATAAATTCGTATTGCTGAACGGATCTGCAATGTAGGCGACTGTGGCGTATGCACCCAGTGCACCTTAAGAAATTGCGTAATCGTAGACTTCTCAAGCAGCATCAACAACAGCAATATTGTCACGCCACAAAATACTAGTAACTTTGCGTAAAATCTGCAGTATACCGACAATGACCATCTCTTTTTTTTACTGTCCTCTAACAGACCTCCAAAACGAGAATTAGCGTCCTCTATTTGAATGACAGCAGCTCGACCTCAAAAATGAGCGTGGCCTTTGGCGGGATCACAGGAGGATACCCCGACTCGCCGTACGCGTACTCGTGGGACAGCGTGAGCTTGGCGATCTGCCCCGTGCTCATTTTGGCGACGCCTTCGTCCCAGCCACGAATCACTTGGCCGGCGCCCAGTTTGAACTGGAACGGACGGCCGCGGTCGCGACTCGAGTCGAACTTGACACCATTGGTCAGCGTGCCCACGTAATGCACCGACACGGTCTGGCCCTGCTGGGGAAAGTTGACGCCGTCGCTGCAGTGGACAGCATCATGAAAAAAGCGTTATTTTGCATATTGATGTGTTGTATAAAACACTTTTAAACTATACAGTGTGAAAAACAAGCGGTGGGAGAGGCAAGAAAAGTGGGGGGGGAGGGCGGCGTACCCAGGATTGATCGACTCGATCTCGAGACTCATGGTGGATCGATTGGTTTGTTGGACAATGAGTCAGTCAGTCGGAGGACGGACATGAAAAAATGGATAAAGTAAGTGATAAGTAGACAGAACGAGTCGGGGAGGGGGGACAGTGACGTACTTCACAGAAGCCCGTCGAATCAGTTGGGAAGAAACGAGAGGGTGGAAGGATATGTGCCATGCGGTTACTTCTGATTGGTCAAAGGGACCGACGACCCCTCTTAGATGTGATACTTTTTTGGGTGATGGATAAAAATCTACCACTCGCGATAGAAACGAAACAGGATAGCAGCACAACATGATCCATCATCACTCCTGACGAAAATAAATACATCTGATGCTGGTTGCGATACGTCCGGTCTCTCCCTCGATCGATCATACACCAGACCACTTTGTAGACGTGCTCCTTCACCAGTTAAATCCCCAACTCGTGCACTGCTTACTCGTCGTCGTGACTCTTTTCCGTATCTTTTTGCAGCTCGTGTTCGCAACTTTCCCTCTCGTTAATGAGCCAACAACAGATCCGGATACCCTCATATAGCAGACAGGAGCTTCCCCATGTTTGTGGGACGCAAGAAGAAGAAGATCATTTCGTTACAGCAGTGCATTGACTTAAACATCACGTAAATTCTCATCATCGTGCCAACAACTCGCTTCAATGTCGAGAAAGAACGAGCAAAGCATCGTTTGCCTTCTTGCGTAGCTACTTCTACAGTTGTGACGGTCGTGTATGTGCTAGAAGCGCGAACCAAATGCGGTTCAAGCAATGACGATACGCGGTGACGTGGCAGTGGTGGCCGTCATTGACCCACCCGTCGATCCTCTCGGGTTCTTCTCAACGTTATTGCGAACAGCGTTGGAATCCAAGCTCACGCCTTCCTTGATGACGAAATTGCGATAGTACACTAGCACGACGGCAAAAACGGCCTGCAAAGACATAGGAGAGTTAGCATCTTTAACGCAAGTGTGTCGAGGCGCGTCGCAAGAACGTACGTAGACTAGGAACATGAAGAAGGAGAAAACCGAGCCGGCCTCGTTCGTGTGTACATTGGTGTGCCTGTCACCTTTGGCACGCTCGATACGGGCCAAGTAGGCGGCTCCTGCAAAGATAATCGAGAGCGAGAACATTTGCAGCGACATCATGAGCACGACGCCAATGAGAAATCCGACAGCCAGCGGTGTCGGGTACTTCCTCATGACCATGGTGCCTCCGATGGACAGTGCGATGATAAGAAGCATCGCCCAGATGCCGACGAAGCCGAGCGACTTGGAATCACTCTCGCCTTCGTGGTTGTTATTCACGGCCGCTACAATTGCGACAATCGCGTACATGAATCCAAGCAGCATCGTGCTGAACCAGAGATACGTGATGACGATCTTAGGACTGCTAACGCATCTGCGGGCTTTAGCCAACGCGTCTGCTACGGTGGTGACCATCTAACAAACAAGAAGAAAACAGGAAGAGGGTGAACTAGGGTGTGCTAATGCAGCACCAGTGCGTTGCAGCACTCACTAACTCTGTAAACACCTTGTTAGGTAGGGAAGGAAGATGCTCCAAGTTGCTCGATGGATGCTGATGCCGACTCGTGGAGCGAATCGCGCGAGCTGTTTACGGCTTTTCTTGCGTGGAAACTCCTTGAAAAGCGGGATCTCGATACTAAGAATACGATTCTGCTTTGAATTCAGAGCTACATCTCATCTCTGCCATCACGATTCATGCGAGTCTACACATGATCGTGTAGTGTGCGTTTATGCCCGTGTCTTTTTGAAGAAGGCTCAACCAAGCACTAGCAGTTGTCAGCCACTTACTTGTCCCTGCTTCTCTGTTTCACACTGTTGCAAACGTGCACCTGGACTGATCGCGACGTTTCCACCATTTTCCAAGCTGACATGACTCACCCGCCGCTCTCCTGCACCAGCAGTTGACACCCTCCGCCATGTGGGCAATAACGAAGGATCGGCGAGTTGCTACATCCAGCGCATACTCGACGACTTCTGTGTACATTTGTAAGGTACAATTCCGACACGAGCCTTCGATCACGGTGTCGTGCTGCACAACACACCGTGCCTGCCATCTCGTGTATGAAATGCCCTCCAGCCCATGTGTTTCGTGTCGGCTCTTCCGCCATCTTGAAGCATCGGTGATAGTTACTAGTCTACAAACGTCATGCGCACTCGCGACGCGATCAGACTAGGAAATACAGTGTCAAGACTATCGTTGCTAACACTGCTTTCGCGGCATCGCACGTTAAGGCAGCAACACTCCCCCCCCCGTCTGAATCCAACCACCATAGAGGTCTGTCGTACAGAAGGTCCTTCTGCTGCTCTCTTTGACCTTCGGGTCGGCCGTAGGTTGATCGGGCGAAGCAGTACTGGCTTTCCGACAAATGGATCGGTAGGCTTTTGTGAGGTTGTGTCAAAGCTTTTGCTTGCTGCGTTGCTATGTTCGTGGGATGCCGCAATGATTGTCGAACCTGCGATGTCACCTGTATACGAGGAAGACGCGACGCTTTGTTGCCATTAGGGTGATCCACAAGTACTCGGGTATATTTCAGCTGTCCCATGACCACTTCGGCGATATCACGAAAGCGGCCAGAACCTGAACCAACTGAACCACGTGTACAGGGTACGACCAAGGCGAGCACTCGACCTCGTCCTGTTGTCAACCAGAGGCAGGACACCACCTGACGTGATCGTCGACTAGCAGACTCGATGTGAGGGGTCAATTGGGAAATAGCGGCAGTTGCAGTACAACAAATCAATTTCAATTGCTGGTGACGTGTTGAAGACTCAGATCGACTCGGAGCATCACGCTGAGGGGGTTTCATCGACAAGGATGTCAGGGTCGTTGGAAGTTAAAGATGACAGCCACGGCACCTTCTCGTCGTGTGGATCATCGGCCCCGGAACCTACTGCGAACCAGACAGAAGCTGACTCCGAACAATCTGAAGTCATGACGGACTCCCCAGTCTTGGAGGCCTTTCCATCTACATCATCGTCATCACTTCCGGCGACGTCAACGACAACTGATGCGCTACTTCCAAGGTTGCGACCAACAGCTCCCGTCCATTGCGTGGTACCCAATTGCTGCGACTTCTTCACGTCTCCTCACCCTCATTATCCTAAGGAAGTCGTTGGCATGACAAAATCTGAAGAGTGCTCGCACGAAGTCGCGGATCCAGCTGATCCTGCTATCCCAGATACCATCAGCGATGTTCTCGACAACGAACGAGGTACTATTGAAAGAGATGTTGCTGCTGCTGCTGCTGTCTCCAGTGACACAAGCGCGTCTCAACCTGGCGACGAGTTTGAGATGTGGGATTATGTCTGTCCACAGTACGCTCGCCGTTTCTACGCGAGCGAGTGGGTCTAGGAAACGGAAGGCTAAGCAAGCTTGATTTCGCGAGTGAGCTACGCGAACATGGATGTACACGTAGAGCTAAATGTATTGCTCACTGAGGTATGAAGTTTTCACCGTCGTACAAAGCGAGATCATGTCGATACCGTGATTGTTTCTAGGCATCATTTCTATCATCCGGAGCATAGGCAGATTATAACGCACGTCGACACAATTTCTTGTATGCTAATACGAGCTACGACCTTAAAGCTGTTGAGGTCCATAAAGTCGAAGTAGCTCTTTGTCAAGTCTGTCACCGCGGCGGCTGTGCAGCATCATCATGAAACTATCGATGGCTATGTCCTATTTAAAAGCCCGGAGGATACTCCAGGTTGGCAAGTTCTGTCAACATTATCGAGGTATGCTGGAGTCACACGTCTGTATGACGACTACCACAGCTGTAACAGAACTGCATGCTGTTCTGCCGTCGCAAAAGGTCGGACAGCCGAAGCCGCAATAGGTTATCACATCTAACGTGCCGTTGCTGTAAAAGGATACCTACAGTGACTTGTCGATATCATCAAGTCCGTGTAATTTGAGAGCTCGGGTGGAATGACCTTCTCCCTTTACTACTAGCCATCCTAGAAAACGAGCTCGTGATCCACACGGTCTGCAGACCATCAAGTGTGTAGCGATATTTCTTTCAGCACGTTGTTGTATCAATCACTCAACGACAGGGAGATGAGAAACGAGGAGCACTATGCAAGTCCACTTTCGTCGACTGAGATGCACCTCACTGAAGCAGTCCTGACAAAAACGAGTGCACACAACTCAATCACCGTAACAAGTCCTTGCGTCCAGCTCGTGCGTCCATGCTTTCTATATATTACAATGGCGCTAGGTTTGGCGCAACCATCAAAGCAAACTCGCTCGAGGGTCGTCTCGTGCTCTTCGCAGCATAATCCTGTGGTCTGTAGTCGTAGGCAGCACCGCCATGGTACGTGAGATCGATACCGTTCACCTCTTTGTCTTCGTCCACGCGAAGACCGATCGTGATCTTTAACATGTACAAAATCATCATCGTCATGATGAAAGAGTAGGCAGCAGCCACGCACTGCGAGACTAGCTGGTGCACGAACTGAACACCGTTGCCGTAGAAAGCACCGCCCTTGATATTCGGGTTTACGTCCGACGTCGCGAATAAACCCGTCATGAGACCACCCAGTACTCCAACGCAACCATGGATCGCAAACGAGTCCAGGGTGTCATCGTACCGCAGGTACTTCTTCATCCGAATGGCTCCAAACCCCGTTGCAGCACCTGCCGCGCCAAATATCACCGATACCCATGGGTAGACGTACCCACAAGCCGGAGTAATAGCAACCAAGCCAGCTACAGCGCCACTTGCAGCTCCACACGGGTCAAACTTCTTGTACATGGCAAACTCAAGGCCTACCCACGTCAAGAAGCCTGCACTTGAAGCAAGGTGTGTGTTGATAGCAGCAGTAGCAGCAATGCCATCTGCAGCACCCTGCGACCCAGCATTGAAGCCAAACCAGCCAAACCACAGAAATGTCGCGCCAATCATCACCAGCGGCACATTATGTGGCTTCACAGGTTCATCATGGTTGTATCGCTTTCCGACCATCATCGCAGCAGCGAGTGCTCCGAATCCACTAGAAATGTGAATCACCGTACCACCAGCAAAGTCGAGCGATCCCATTTTCGCCTCCCATCCCATCGCCGTGACCGTCCAGGAACTATCGAGTTGCAATGACCACATCCAGTGGGCCAATGGGTCGTAAACCAGTGACGTCCAGAGTAGAATAAAGAGCAGATAGGATCCGTATTTCATGCGCCCGACAATGCCTCCACTGAGGAGCGCTGGACTGATCATGGCGAATTGAGTCTGGAAGAAGGCGAACAGAATGTGTGGGATCTTGGTCCCGTACGTGCCACTTGGCGTTTGCCCCACATTGTTGTACCCGATCCAGCTAAAAACACCATTCGAGCTGAAAGCGACAGAGTACCCGAAAGCCCAAAACTGGATCGACACCAGGGCCATACTCACAAACGACATCATGATCGTATTGGACGCCATCTCTTCACCTGCAAGACCCGCGTAGAAAAAGGCAACACCTGGAGTCATGATCATCACGAGCGCACTGGAGGTTATCATCCACGCCGTGTTCCCTGAATCCACTTCTTGGTCATAGTCCGTTTGAGCCTTTTCACCTGGACTTGAGTACCCTATGCACTGGCCCGTATTCACGTCCAAGTATTGCGACGTTAGACATGAGACAGTCACGACTGAGGACATGCTCTGAGCAGTTATGAGGGTACCAAACGTTACAACAACAACAACAAGGGTGGCAACCACGACTCGTGCTTGCCAAGTCATTGTTTTTTCAACAGATTCCAAGTCGAGCGTGACCGCTAGAGTTGAAATTTTGAGATGAAGAGATGATGAGAGTCACTTGTTGATGTTGACGGCACTTTTCATGGGTCCCGGTTATGTGGTTGTAGGTTTGCACTATGAATGAGGAACGATCGTACGACGTGTTACTGAGCTGATGAGGAAAATGGTCATTTAGCGGATCCCATGATGCGAGCGCCACGAATTAGCAAAGCGACATGGCACTTTAATGGAACGGGGTCCGGAGGTCTTGGAGTGGGAGGAGGAATGTCGTTATCGTGAGTAAACACACCTCGTTATAACAAACAGCAGTGTCGGGATGTAATCAGGTGCCATCTGATTCGCTCTCTTTCTCTCCGAAGGGTTACGCACGAAGAACGACGTAACGTAACGTCCAAGTGCTTTAACACATTGTATTGGCCTTGTGTCCACAATGCGGATCGTCTGTTATCGAAGATTGCAGCTGGCTGTATTGGAGACCTTGCAGTTTCGAACCCCTAAACACAAGTGTTTACGTTGATGACTGACTCGATCCTGGACATCACGTCGTCGAGGCAAGACGAGGACAACTAGTATCGTACCCTACGGACTGTTCCGCAGCACCTTCTTTCTGCAAGGAACGAAACGAAACACACACAACGTCAGACTCGTACACTCTGTTACAGGGATCCGAGATGTAAATCTCTTGTTTGTAAAATCGGTTAAGCCATGTGCATAACGGCGGGTGTACATTAATCAACATTGAGTAGGTAGAATGCCTAGATAGAGTCCCTCACGCTATGAGTGGGGTTGCCACGTTAGAGCGGATAGCATCTGCTGCTAGCGTTGCTAAGACGGCAGTCTGCTAAAACTGCAAGAGTCAAACGTGACTCAGCTTTAACTATGTCTCAGCACGTCGCTGGAATCTGTATGGAAGGGGAGGAACATACGGATGCGAGTAGTCAACCGTGCTTGTACAGAGGTGACTAATGTATAGGAGATCGAGGTCGGGTCATGTTAGAGTCAGATGACGCGTGTAATATGCAGACTGGAAGCAGGATCTACAAGCGTGTTCGACAACTTCATGGTCCAGAGATTGACTAGGTAAGCTACTATATCGCTCGTAGCCTGTGGGGAACGATGTGGTTGAGCTACCCACCTTAGAGATGTCAGCTTTTCATAACGGCCATGTCCGCCTTCGTTGAAATGTCTGGCTGATTTCATAGTTGCAGATAATCAATTCGTAGCTACAAGCTCCCGCAATCTGTCAAGTGATCGATGCGACCTGCTCTTCTTTTAGACGTCCATCCTCATCTTAGATTACAACTTGCATCTCGTTCCCATCTCCTGTCCACACACTTCTTGTCAACTTCTGCAACGTCTGAAGACTTTGTCTAATCTGTTTCATGAATAGCAATGGTACGATGACTGTCATTGCGAGCGCTTTCCATACCACATTTGTCTCCTGGATGGAAAAGTGTTGCGCTCGTGTCCGCTACTTTAACTCTCATATCTGGACATCGACTGAGTGCCTCGTCGTCTTCGTTGCTGTAAGCATGCCTTTGTCTGAAAGAATGTAACATGGTGATATGTTGCACATGTCTAACGATTATCCTCACCCGATGATCAAATCAATGCGTGTTGGTCAATTAGTTGGCTGGACACCACCACTGCACGCGATAACCAACACTGAAATGAAACGCTAAAGGACGGTGGATAAAACGGGGTGCGTTGCGGATCATGCGAAAAGAATTCAGCAAAAGAGAGAGGGAATAGAATCAGAGTACCTGCCTACCGGACCTTCGAATTGCATTTCTGCAGCTCGAAGCTACGATCCACTTGCTCTTGTGGTTTGTGGAAGACAACGTCTCTCCTATTAGAAAGATTAGCGTTTTCATTGCAATCGTAGCTGTGTCATTGCTTGTCCACACATCCACGATGGCAAGAGAACGAAATTTAGAGCCAAGACTAGCGACGGCTGTACATCGCTTGGTTTCAACCACAGCGGAATTCGTAGTACTGATTTGTTCGGGCACTTTAGGCTGCGCATCTACCAAATGTCGATCAGCAAAGGACTGATTCCAAGGCCTACCCGATTTCACAAGATAAAAGCTCCCTCGTGTTGGAGCTTTTGCGTAAAGGTTTCATGCGCCGGTGTAACGCATCTTTGACTTGTCTTTGGTCTATGTGTGCGTGGCAGCATGTACGTGAATACCTGATAGTATGAGCAGGGCCACGCAGCTTCTCAGGCTTCTTTGATGGAAGCACATGATGCACTACTGAGCAAGACCAGCTAGTACTTCTGATCGAAAATCGAAAGACTCGTGCGACGAGCTAATAACAGAGTGCCAATAAACAGAACAGCCCAAGCAACGTGCAACACTTCGGCGTCAATAGAGGTCACACTTGATGCTTAAGCGAACCTCGTCTTGCGACACAAAGAACTAGCGGCGTGAAGCAATGCTAAAAATATCCAGAGGAGCCAGCGTCTGCATCAACAACGGAGCAAAGCGTGTCAAAACCGCAACAACGATGAACAACTGAATACAACAGAGCAATGGGATGTGCATTACGAATACCACTCAAATTGCCATGCGCAGGTACACACACCTGTACATTCCAGTCGCTGCGTGTCTTTCCAAGAAAGAAAAGATACAGCGAACTACAGTCGCATGAGGGACCCGCAAGACCTTTTGCCTTGCTCTACAATATACACGAACGAGCCCATAATCGGACATGGACCAAATCGCAAAGTATGACAATGGCCGCTACCACTACTCCTTGATTTCCATACCTATACACGTTCATTTGTCCATTTCGTCAATCAATTGCATTCCTCGTATCATCGTAGCAAGAATAAAGGACAAATGTGAGCTGGCGTAGGCGTTCGCGACGGATTACTTCTGTGCAGTCTCCTGAACAACACTCGGTGTCATCATGTTAGCAAAATCGCTCGACGGCGGGTTCGCAGCCTTCACAGTCGGGCCAGTATGATCTTGAGCGCTGTAGTCATAAGCGAGTCCACCGTGGTACGAAACGTCAATGCCATTGACCTCCTTCTCATCGTCCAGACGAAGTCCGACCGTCACTTTTAGCACAAAAAGAATGATAATCGTCACCACGAACGAGTAAGCCGCAGCTACACACTGCGAGACAAGCTGGTGCACAAACTGCATGCCATGGCCGTAGAAGGCACCGCCATCGATGTTCGGATTTACATCCGATGTTGCAAAAAGACCAGTCAGGAGACCGCCCATAGCACCGCCGCAGCCGTGAATGGCAAACGAGTCCAGGGTGTCATCGTACCGCAGGTACTTCTTCATCTGAATGGCTCCAAACCCCGTTGCAGCGCCTACCGCCCCGAATATCACTGACGCCCATGGGTAGACACACCCACAACCAGGCGTTATCGACACAAGTCCCGAAATGGCACCACTCGCAGCTCCACACGGGTCAAACTTCTTGTACATGGCAAACTCAAGGCCTACCCACGTCAAGAAGCCTGCACTCGAAGCAAGGTGTGTGTTGATAGCAGCAGTAGCAGCGATGCCATCCGCAGCACCCTGCGACCCAGCATTGAAGCCAAACCAGCCAAACCACAGCAATGTCGCGCCAATCATCACCAGCGGCACATTATGTGGCTTCACAGGTTCATCATGGTTGTATCGCTTTCCGACCATCAACGCAGCGGCGAGTGCTCCGAATCCACTGGAAACGTGAATCACCGTACCACCAGCAAAGTCGAGCGATCCCATTTTCGCCTCCCATCCCATAGCCGTGACCGTCCACGAACTATCGAGCTGCAATGACCACATCCAGCGTGCTAATGGGTCGTAAACCAGTGACGTCCAGAGTAGAATAAAGAGCAGATAGGATCCAAATTTCATGCGCCCGACAATGCCTCCACTTAAGAGAGCGGGTGTGATGCTTGCAAATTGCGTTTGGTAAAAAGCAAATAAAATGTGCGGAATGCCCGTGCCGTACGTGCCGCTTGGGTACTGCTGGACACCGTTGAAAGCTGCCCAGCCAAAGATGCCGTTTGAGCTGAAAGCCGCCGAGTACCCAAAAGCCCAAAACTGGATCGACACGAGTGCAATGGATACGAACGACATCATCATCGTATTCGACGCCATGTCTTCCCCGGCAAGACCCGCGTAGAAAAAGGCAACACCCGGAGTCATGATCATCACGAGCGCACTGGCTGTGAGCATCCACGCCGTGTTGCCCGAATCGATCGCCGTGCCAAAGTCCGTCGTGGCCTTAACGCCCTGATTGGCATAATCGACGCACGTGTTTGGCGTGTTTTTCGTGTCTAGATACTGCGACACGAGACACGGGACAGTAGGACTGGAGGTGGCTTGCGCTGCTGCAGCGCAGGCGGCGAGTAGCGCGAGCGTCACGAGCAACGCGCAATGTGCATACGTCATGGCTTTTTCCATGCCGGTTGTCACAGCAATGTGTGACGTTGAGGGTAAAAGACAGACTGATTGCGAAAACTGAAGCACTGACGCCATGCTGAAGCGATCGATGGACCGTCTGTCGGTTTAGTCGGCCTGTCTGCAACGTCGCATTGTAGAGAGCGAGTGCAACGAATACGAGAGGGGTGCGGATGTCGAGTAGGGAACCCCTCGCTTGACGGACGTTCAGTAAAAAACCTCAGACTGCTGCTCCGTTGTTTACGGCTCTGGAAGAAACGATAGCGTGCGGCGGAACGTGCAACACGATGAGAGGGCGATGTGGGACCTGCCTATTAGACAAGCATGTCCCATACTATTTTTTATGAGCTCCTGCCGCGATCATTGCAAAAAACCAGGAGCAAACAGTCGCAGACTCTCGTATAGCGATGATACTGCAGGTGCGACAGGCGTCTGCGTTCAATTTCTTGATGCCGGTTCACCCAGAAATACGTTGTTACTGTCGTAGAGCTTTTTGTTACAGCAGCTGTTGATGCTTCACAAGTATTGCAGTCGTGTCGTCGGGCTAAACAAGGGAAGCTCTAGCACAAAACAAATTGAGCTTTTTAGCTAGTAGATGGCGCCACGGATAAACGTGGAGAAAGATGACAGATGATCATGGAAGCATGGGTTCAGTAAAGGAAGCTGTCGAAGCTGATGACAGAGGTGGATTAGAAGCCAGAGCTAAGGCAGAAAGAAGAGTACGGAAGGTTTGCTTTAGGCGCTCGTCCCGAAACAAGATAATACATCGTAACACAACCGTGCCAGGTAGAAAGAGCTTCACAATGACCGCACAACGTCATGTAATCGACCAAATACTGATCAGCAGCAAAATATTGAGTAGATCCGGTTCTCACCCGGTACCGACAAGTGCTGCCAGAAGCTTCGATAAGCGTTTCTAAATGCATAAAGCGAGTAGAAGAAGAATGGCCTGAGGAAATCGCGCAGTAGCACTATTTCGTCTTTACAAAACCAGCGGATAGGTATCAGTTCTGGTCCCCTTTTTCTGGTCGTCTGTGAGGTCTACGCGAACCTTGTTGCGTGCATGTGCGGTCGCTGAGTGCATTTACTCAGGAGGATCGACATCTGACACCCGACGTGAGTAGAGTATATCATTGAGCTCCGTGGTCTGACATTGGAGTACGCGAAAATGCTCATTTTTACAATTAAAGGCGGGTGCCATGTGTATCGATACGCGCTGATGACGCACGTGTACTTTTGTAACGTCCAACGGGGCTTTTCTGGAAGAAAGAGAAAGGATGTCGGTCATAAGAAGCAGTGGTTGACAAAATGTCGCTACGTATGATAAGCAGCACCGTTTCTACTTCCGGGTGGATGACCTGCTTGCAGGACTGACGATGGAATTGCAAGAGTTGTTTGCGCATGCGTATCGTGACTGCTGGATATTAATGTGTCTGGAGGCATACTCATGGCGAGGTGTGCGCACGAAGCAGATAAGCGCGGTGGAAACCCAACTACCCACTACTTCCAATAACATTTATTGGAAGACAGGAGCCGGTTTGTTCGTGGAACAAGATAATTGTCCGGGATTGATGTCAAGACAAGTAAAGTTGCATGTTCACTGGGAAGCGTTATTCAGCAACCGCCCTTTCGTTAATCTGCCACCAGGTGGCTATGTTCGTCTGCCACCACCCTCCTATAATTAATATGATTTATTTCCATTTTGAAAACAATGCATTTAATTGGTCGCGCAAACATACAACTTTGTAAAAGCCATTAAGCAGAATTTTGGAATATAAAGTTGGGTGCTATTAAACTAGACGGACATCTTGCGTAAAGGGGTTACGCATAGTAGGGTACTCGATATCATGCGTCTTAGACACAGGGAATGGTATTCCACTGAAAAGGATATAAAATATCTTACCGATTTCTAAAGGCTGATGAGTGTCAGCCACAAGATAGGAGAAATCTTAAGAGATTGTCATTCAGGACATGAGTGCCTATATTAGGTAACATTAGGACTAAGAAATTCGATTAAATTAAACGTGAATAAAATTCAGTTCTCCTTTTGGTCTTGTCAATGACACGTGCCTTGCGAGGTGTCTCTGATCGTAGATCATTAAAAAAGTTAGCAGCACCTCATTGAGGTAGCTACTCTTAAGCATTATGTGCTGTAGATTCAATAAATCGTTCGGTCCCCAGGAACAGGGACCTTAAGCTCTACGCTTGTTGACTCATAGAGTCTAGTTATTTGGAGCTAATATTCCTCCTTGAGCACTAGTTATTTCTAAATTTAGGAGCTGTGTAGCTCCGCTACATCTTGCGTTTAATCTACATGGGTAGCAACACTACGTTTTTAGACTTATGTTGTTTATCCTGTGGCTAACAGACGAGCGAGAAGGATACGACCAGGTTATTCTGGACGAGTAAAGCGTGATGCTCTCAGTTTTCCTTTCGCGTGAACACGTACAACTAATATGAATAGACCTAATGTATTGATTTGCGGACTGCTGTCTATGAAGGTAGAAAAGTGGTCCTTACATGATATCAAGGTCATTGTGCTGCGATGTGATAATTCATGACAAGGAATCGGTATCGCAAGCTGAAGAATGAAGATGGAAGTGTCAATAATCAGTTTGTCAAACTTATGAGTTCTAATTGACGCGAAACGAGACAGAATTACCGAACTTTACCTGGCCCGGAGCAAACACCTCGTGCTACGCCTGGCAGCAGCACGCCAGTGAGGTCGTTCTCATGTCGCTAAGGGGTCTGAATAGGAGCAGGCTGAAATAATTCTTTTACGGTACCACATTCGCATTGCCTATCTTTTAGTCCGTATGGCTACTACGACATAACTTTGTTGTCGTGCATGGGTTTCAATTGCTGCCTTTACTTCCTCCAGCAATCGCACATCAATCTGGGTGGTGGCCCAAGACTTTCTATAGTAGTCATCAATAAACAAAGAAGACCTGGTATCAATTTTCACACAAAACGCGGATATAGGTGCAATAATAAAAGATTTGAGCTCGAAAACACCCAGCCTAACTTTTATCCAATAAAATGCAACTTTTTCGAAATCAATGTACTATTACAAAATATGTTGGTCTGTGATGGCTGATAAACGAAAGGGTGGTGGCTGGATAACGTGCCCCTTTTCACTTTATCGACATATGGCTGTTGACCTTTAGTCGTATGCAGGATGTTGACACGTGGAATAATTGTCCGTTCGATACCTGCTTATTCTGCACTGGATTTTAAGCCTTTCGGTATGCGTCTCATCCTGTCGTGCTCACAATACACAGTTAAGTTTACCAAATATTGGAAGAATCGAGCACTAGCGTCATACAAGCTGCTTGTAACGGGGTGAACCGTTACATAACGATTTATATGAAATTGTTATTAGAATATAACTAAAAGAGTTATGCTCTCCGAATATTGTCACAAGGACAATATTCTGCGGCACTTACGAGTAGTTCCTAATTGGTTGATATAGGCCATCATATCAACCAACAAAGACGCGCCACGACAGACGCACGCAATGAGTGGTGAGCAGATATGTAACGGGGCACCCTGAAGCTTGTACTGGTGACAGTACAAGCTACTTATTCTGATGACAGAATAAGGCGGTGCCTCGTAACTTCACGTACACTCGTACGTGCAGAGGAAGACGGTAAGAAGAAGCGAGTACTCGGTTAGAGTAAAAAGTAGAACTGTATTTATAATAGTTCATGTCTGTTAATAAACCACTATTTATCCTCATCTAACTATGTCTAAATACAAATGTGTAAATCAGTTATCTGCTCACCACTCATTGCGTGCGTCTGTCGTGGCGCGTCTTTGTTGGTTGATATGATGGCCTATATCAACCAATTAGGAACTACTTGTAAGTGCTACAGAATATTTGTCCTTATGACAATATTCTGAGAATATAACTCTTATAGTTATATTCTATTAACAATTTCTTATAAATTGTTATGTAACGATTCACCCCGTTACATCACCCCCCCCTTAACCATCAGTCACTTTAGTGACTGATTGACTAAATGGATACTCGTCCCAAATCATTTGGGACAGGGTTTGCACTTGTTGGTCCGCGTCCACTTTCCAACATCTCATCGCATGGTAAACAAGCCCATGCGATGCGCGAGCAAGGACGCCGAGAGCGCGTCTGCACGTCTCTGTGCGGACGCCGAAGCAGAAACAACAGCAACTGATGTCCCATCGGTTGCTGAAGCGACTCAGCCTGTGTCACTTGGTGACGCAGGCGCTGGTCATGAAGACACTCGTGTCTTCACAGAGTACGAGCTCGGTGTCTCGTACTCTCCTGATACGGATGACGGATCCGTATCGACGGCGATTGAATCTAAGCCGCCAGCCAAGCGTGGCATGGACGATGCTTTGCGTCGCAGCATCTTTGGTTCATCTGATGAATCAGATGAACCATCGCCGAAGCGAAGGCGCTCGAGGTCGCGAGACTCGGGCGCTAATAGTGCTGTCGGTTCTCCAATGGACACCACTTCACAGCGAGGTGCCAGTACTTCTGTCGGCACGTCGCAGGAAGAGCGGGACCGCAATGTGTTGCGTCTCGCTCCAGAAAAGAAGGCATGGATGCCTCCGAAATCCGTCATGGATCACTTGTCGGCGACGACGAGTGATCGTTATCGAACACGATTGTTCGATTCGTCAAGGATCCATCACCTTGACCCCAGCGCGAAAAACTATCGCGCTGAGAATGAATTCTTCATCGATGCTTTCTTCAGACATCGATGGTACAGTGGGAACCACAAGCGTGATGGTCCCTCACTACTTCAAGCGTGGAACGCCTACATCCATAACCTCGAGGATGTAGGTCGTGACGCTTGGAACGACAAACTTATCAAAGCTCGTGATAAGTTCGAAAAGCGAACCCCGACAGGTGCACGCTACAAGCTGCATCGTCTGTCAAGGGAGAAAGGATTACCCTGCCTCTCTTGGGGAGACTCGTGCCCATGTTGTGTGAACAACTCTGCGCGAGCACCTAAGGAGGCTTACCTCCTTACCAGCCCGTGGTGGCGCGTACGTGTCTCTACTGAGATGTACGAAGGGATTGACAACCTGAAATCCCTTTACGACCGTGCCGGGAAGACTTTCTCCGGCGGTCCTTCTGCGGCACAGGATGTGCCGCGTCGTACTGCTCAACCAGACCCAGTACGTCGATCATCAGTTGGGAGCGGGGCTCCCAAGAATCCCAGGACGGGGGATAGCCGCGCCACCGGACGAGATAACTCGTCCGACGTCCGTTCACGTCGCGGTGGTTCAACAGCTGCTCAACTAGATAGCGCTGGCCACCGCGAGAGTCCTCTAATGGAGGTGGAGGAGGAGGAAAGACGCTCTCCACACGATCATGTGGATCGGTGTGTTCCCGAGAGCTTCTTTGATCGCGTAACGCAAGGGTTACGCGACGATCTCGAGCATGAGCGGAATAGGCGTCTCCAAATGGTGGACACTGCCTCGAAGCATCGAGCTGAGTTTGCCTTTGCTCAGCTCGAGAACGAGAGATCTCTGACATCTCTTCGTGGGATTGTTGATCGGTCTCGGGCTGAGATAACTGCTCTTCAGACCCTTGTTGATGCCCACCATCGGGAGCACAAGGCTCTTTGCGAGATGCTTGAGCGCAAGGGCGTTCTTCATCGGAAGAAGCAGCGTACTGATGGTACGGCTTAAGCCGACCAACGTAAAACGTGGGATGCGTTCGCATCTTACGTGGTAACTCGATCGTGTATGCATTGCCTAGGCGGTGCAATACACGAAATGGGCCAATGTACTTGGGTAGTAGTTTACTGCTACCCAAGTTAGTCACTACATGCTTTGGTAGATTAACCGTAGACAGTAGGACTAAGTCACCTTTACTAAATAAAAGAGTGTTTGCTTCTTGTCAGCGTTTTGCTTTTGCTTATCCACCGCTTCGGCGATGGAGTCTTGCACAAAACGGACTACCGTTTCACGAGCCAGTAAGAACTCATCTGATGACTCGTTAGCTTCAGTGTGCTGTGAGCGCACTGCAGCAACAACAACCTTTTCTTCAGTGAGGGCTTCCGCACTCTCACTGGGATCATTGTCTTCAGTGAGGGCTTCCGCACTCTAACTGGCATCATCTTCTTCGATATCGATGTTATCGATATCGGCATCAAACGCAATGACTTCTTCGTCAGAGCGTGATGAGCGTGAACCAAATCGGTTTTTGCTCGCGCGAGTCCCTCCCCCCCTTAAACCAGAGTTACACTCTAGTAGGGTGGGTACACGTGGATGGCGCAAGCCATTCACGTAAAACGGTGTATGTGTCGTGGACGCATGCACCGAGTTGCTAATGGCAAACTCTACCATTGGCAAAAACTCACTCCAACTCTTAAAGGAGTGTACGTATCCTCGAAGTATCTCTTCAAGGACACGATTGGCACGTTCCGTCTGACCATCTGACTCTGGATGATCAGATGTCGACATCTTCAAGCGCGTTCCGAGTGATTTGAACACGGAACGCCAGAAATCAGCAGTGAAGCGTGGATCTCTGTCTGATACGAGTTCACGGGGCAACCCATGAAGTCGGAAGATGGTGTCAATAAAGACACAAGCACAGCCACTTGCCGTGATTGTCTCTGGTACAGCCACAAGGTGTACCGTTTTGCTGAATCTGTCAACAAATACGAGAATACCCGTATTCCCGCGTGCGTCTTTGGGTAACCCGAAGACAAAATCCATTGAGATGGATTCCCAGCACTCAGCCGGAACCGGTAGAGGCTGTAAGGGTGCACGCAGTGAAGGACTTGACTTCACTCGTTGGCAGACTTCGCATGCGCGAACATACTTTCGCACAAACTGATACTGGCGGGGCCAGTAAAAGTCTCGACTCACCGTGAGATATGTTTTCTCGCGGCCACGATGTCCTCCTATAGGAGCATCGTGATACTCGAACATGATCCGCAAACGCAGATCAGTATCATCTGGAATGACAACACGTGGTGTGTCACCAGAAACGGCTGTATAATACAGTAAACCGTTACGAGTAGTGTATCGATCTGATGCAGATCGATACGCAGGCGACAATCGTTTCAACTATTCTCGGGATGGTTGGGAGAGATGTGTCAACAACTTCACTATCTCACCATCTTGGGCGTATGCCCGCCTCACATCATCATACAACGTTGTAGATGGGACTGAGGACGTCATAACCGCAACAGTGACTGTCTCACTGTTGGGTTTCGCGACTGTTTCAAAGTCGGGACGACGTGAGAGTGCATCAGCGACGACATTAAGTCGTCCTGGTTTGTACTCAACCGTAAATTTGTATTCCGCAAAGAATGACAACCACCGCGCCATTCGTTGTGAAAGGTGCGGGCTGTTCACTGCCGTGCGTAATGACGCATGGTCAGTGTAAACAATGAAGGGTCTATCTCCTAATAGATAGACTCTGAACTTCGCGAGTGCATACTTCATGGCAAGGAGTTCCTTGTCATGCACTGGATAGTTCCGCTCAGCTGGTTGCAGCTGACGCGACTGATAGCAGACGACGCGTTCAACGCCTTCAAGATTGTACTGCATTAGTGCACAGCCGATTGCGAAATCGCTGGCATCACAGACCACATGAAATGGCCTGTCCTGATCGGCAATCGCTAGGACTGGGGATTGTATCAAGCTCTGCTTGATACCCTCAAAGGAGCGTTGACATTCAGCGTTCCATAACCACCTCTCGTTCTTTTTCAACAAACGAGAGAGGTGCACAGTCATCTCGGCGTAATTGCGTGAAAACTTATGCAAATACGCCGCTAGCCCAAGGAATTTTCGAAGACCTTTGACATCGACCGGCACAGGCCAGTCGGTGATCGCCTTGATCTTTTCGGGATCAGGACGTACACCGTTCTTACCAACGATGCACCCAAGAAGTGGTATTTCGCTTGCCGCAAATATACACTTCTTGGGGTTAGCATACAATTGATGCTTTCGCATGATTGTAAGAACCTGTCGGACGTGGTACCTGTGAACCTCAACGTCCGACTTTCCATCCATAGCTCGACTATGGATGAATACGTCATCGAAATAACTCGGCGCGAATTCTCGTACTGGTCTCAACAGATGTGATACACATCTGTTGAACGTGGCAGGGGCATTACTAAGCCCTTGTGGCATTACTAGCCATTCCCAGAGCATGCCGCTAGGCGTGCTAACTGCGGTATAGGGTATATCCCGTTCTCGCATAAGGATTTGATAGAAGCCATCCATCAAATCCATGGACGAAAAGATGGTACTCTTTGACATACCATCAATGATTACGTCCTTCCTCGGTATCGGCGTCTGAGCCGGTACCGTTGCAGCGTTCAATTTGTTGAACGCGTGCACTATCCGCCACCCTCCTGTTGCTTTTCGCACACAGAAGGTTAAAGAGCTATGTGGGGAAGTTGATTCCCTCACATGGCCCGCAGCTAAACGATCGGCAAAGAACTTGTCGATCGCAAGTACTTGTTCACGAGGCAGTGGCCACTGCTTCATGACACAGTACTTCGAGCCTGGTTTAAGCTCGACTTCGTGTCGAATACCTTTATCCTTCGGTAATTCGCACGGAACAGTTTCAGGGAATACATCCTTGAATTCAACCAAATCTTCATAGAGAGGATTTTTCTTGAGCGATTCCCATGATTGGGAGTCATATCGCTCAATTCGTGTCTTTTCATCTAGGACACTCTCGTCCATAGATGAACTACTGAGAACTCTCTCGTTCTCAGTAAACACTGTTGCTGACCTTATGTCGTTTACACACTCGTCATCAGCGACGAGTATGCAGATCTGCTTGACTTTGCCACTACGCAGATCACGCAAGAACCTTTTATGTTCGAGCGTTGGCAACTGAGTGATCTCCGAAGTTAACTTCGGAGGCGCAATCAGATCAAGTGTATAAGCGCCTACACTTGATCCGTTATTGACTATGACATTCAATGTCTCTGTCATTTCCTGGGGACTTATTCCCTCAGGCTTCGAAGGACTTATTCCTTCGGCTTCCCGGGGACTTATTCCCGCGGGTTTCGGGGAACTGATTTCCGCCGTATTTGTAATGTCGGGACTTATTCCCTTTACTTCCTCTAGCTGGGGTTGCGCAACCACAGCGAGATCCTCTACGAAAGACTCTCCAGTCGATCTAGGATTATCGTTTCGCTTAACCTGAGCGATCGATTGTTTCTCTTTTAGATGTCCCCAGCTAGGGATACATCTTTGTCCCAGTCCACCCGACTTATTCGAGTGGTGGACCTTCGGCGCAGCCTGTGTTTCCTCACAGCCGCCGGAACTTTGCTCCGAAGTGTAACCGTTTGTTACACTAAGGTTTTGTGCAGTCGTACTAACGACCGTACCACAAGTGAGGCCATCGCACTCAATCGTAGTACATCCACACGCTTGTGGACGCTCCAAAACGTTCATCAGATGGCCATCTGATGAACAAGCGGCAGGCATCGTTACTGTTCGATGTTGCCAGTTTACTCGTGGTTCGTACCTTCTGAGCCACGGTATTCCAAGGATGACATCAAATTTGTCATCCAAATCCAATACGATAAAGTCATCGTCATATTGGGTATCTTCTAGCGTATAGTGGATCTTCACTATACGCTTCATGACGGTTACGGATGCGCCTGTCGCAAGACGTACCGTCATCCTCGTAGGAGGTGTGTCACATTCACTGAATTTAAAGTGACCATCTTCTAGCGATTGGCGTCGCACAAAATTGTTGGAAGCCCCACAATCGACTAGAGCTCGAAGGGACAACTTATTTGTCACTTCGAGTTTCAAGGTAATGAGTAAGTCCTCATTTCCTAGAGCAGCAACGCACAACGTTTTTGCGTCGGGAGCAACCTTCATCAAGAGGCCTACAAATTCTCTTGACGTTGCTGGACCAGTAGGGTGCTCCGCACCTACTGATCCTGTCCGTTTTTTGACGGTCCATCCCGTTGTTGCGTCTTTGCACCAACTGCGGACCCTCGTCCCTGCCCCTTTCTCATGGGTGGACGGTCACTACGCCCAGTGTCGCGAGACACTGGACGAGGGGCACTACACTCGTAAGCGTAGTGTCCTGTCTTTTGACATCTGTTGCATCTCTGCAACTTCTTGTAGCCTGTAGAGCGAGCCTTCTCGCTCTCTACATAACAGAGTTCCATCGGCTCTGGACCTCCGTTGTCATATCGTCTCGGTTGACGATATGATGTCGAGCTGGCGCGAGCCTGTCTCAGACTGAAGTCGACCTGCTCCGCAATGGAAATGGCTTGTTCTAGTGAATCTAGTTCAAGCCGGAACAGGTGAGTCTTGACGGGACCATCCGCAAGACCCTGCATGAACACCGAAACCAACGTGTGTTCATCCACCGGATTGGAACTTCTACAACTCGTAAGATGTCGCATATGTTGGGCGTAAGCGTGCACATCACGCTTACCCTGTTTGAGCTTCAAGAGTTCGGTTCGAGCCCTGAACTCAGCTCTAGGCGGTTCAAACGTTTGTCTGAGCCGCGACTTGAAGACTTCCAACGACCCAAACGCATATGGGTCGTGCAACTTGAGCCCCAGTGCCCAAGTCTTGGCACGTCCTGCCAGATTTGACTGGGCAAATGCAACTTGCATATCCCCGTCGTCGATGCGACGCGCCCTTATGGCGTCATCCAATTCGACGAACCATCTCAAGAGGGAGTCTTCTTCGACCCCCCTATACTTTGAGATGTCAATCTTCAAAGTCTCGGGTCGACGCGAGTGCATCGACCCGCCAGCAGCAGCCTGCTGCTGTCTCAACAGTTCAAACTGTTGAGCACCTTGTTCTCTCAACAACTCTGTTCGTTGAGAACCTTGTTGGTGAAGCAAGGCTACTTTCTCGCGTTCAGCGTCAAGTTCATTTTGAATGAACTTGGCGATAGTAGCATGTTGGGCATCTCTATTGAGAGCCTCTAGCATGACGCTAACAGCATGGATGCCCATGGTCGAACCCATTCGTTCAACCGCATCCCATTCGACATCGCTCAAATGGGAGTAGCCGTCACGCGTAGCGTAAAAGCTTTGGTCATCTTCATCATCCAACATATTCATGTTGGATGTGAACGCGGTCTTTGGACGGACTACGAAGTGCTACCAGGTGTAACGGGGCACCCTGAAGCTTGTACTGGTGACAGTACAAGCTACTTATTCTGATGACAGAATAAGGTGGTGCCTCGTAACTTCACGTACACTCGTACGTGCAGAGGAAGACGGTAAGAAGAAGCGAGTACTCGGTTAGAGTAAAAAGTAGAACTGTATTTATAATAGTTCATGTCTGTTAATAAACCACTATTTATCCTCATCTAACTATGTCTAAATACAAATGTGTAAATCAGTTATCTGCTCACCACTCATTGCGTGCGTCTGTCGTGGCGCGTCTTCGTTGGTTGATATAATGGCCTATATCAACCAATTAGGAACTACTTGTAAGTGCTACAGAACATTTGTCCTTATGACAATATTCTGAGAATATAACTCTTATAGTTATATTCTAATAACAATTTCTTATAAATTGTTATGTAACGATTCACCCCGTTACAAGATAGTTGATATACACGTTTGTATTTAGACATAGTTAGATGAGGATAAACAGCGGTTTATTAACAGACATTAACTATTATAAATACAGTTCTACTTTTTACTTTAACCAAGTACTCGCTTCTTCTTACCGTATTCCTCTGCACGTACCAGTGTACGTGAAGTTACGAGGCACCACCTTATTCTGTCGTCAGATAGTAGCTTGTACTGTCATCAGTACATGCTTCAGGGTGCCCCGTTACACTGCTTCTTTACCCAAGAAGAAGGCGGACAGCGTAGTTTAAAACGCACAAAGAGACCAGGGAAAGTTCGTCCTTATTCGCACATAAAAATCATAAGTACCAGCGCCCTCGTGTAAATTTAAACGCTACAAGAGTGCTC